TGCCTACTCACTTAAAGATAAAGTCGATATTTTCGCTGAATACCTGGAAAAGCAGTTTACTCCTAATATGGAGCCCATGAATCAGACCTTTAAAGATGTTCTCGAAAACTATGTGTATTCCTGGCTTCATTCTTCTTCGGCTCATAACATCCCAAGGCTTACTTCTCCTATGGAAAGTACTAATATTATTAATATCTCAACATCAAAAAGCTCCTGGAAGTGATCAAATTACAAATAAAATGCTTCGTAACTTACCTAGAAAACTTATCAGTAAATTCGCTAGTATTCTCAACGCTTGTCTTACTCTCGACTATTTCCCTGATCCTTGGAAGCAAGCCAAGATCTTTCTTCTTCCCAAACCGGGTAAAGATGTGACCAAGCCTGATGGCTATCGTCCTATCAGTTTGTTATCCAGCCTTGGTAAAATTTATGCAAAGACTTATTCTCACTAGATTGGAACCTTTTCTTCACTTGCTACCTAATGATCAGTACGGATTCAGAAAAAACCTCAGTACTACTCGACAACTAGTAAGAATTGTAGAATTTGTGGGATCTGCATTCCATAACAAGCAAAGTGTTGCGCTCCTTATGCTGGACGTGGCAAAAGCCTTTGACCGCGTCTGGCATGAGGGGCTCGTCTTCAAGCTTATCAACTTGGGACTTCCTAGAGAGCTCATTCTTCTGATCTTCTCCTTTTTGCAGAACCGCACTTTCTTCGTCGCTCAAGGAAATGAAAAATCCAATTCAAGACCTATAAGATCCAGCGTCCCACAAGGAAGTATTCTCGGTCCAGTACTATATCTTTTCTACATATCAGATTTTCCTCACCCTGGTTTGGACAATTACTCTCTGTTAGCATGTTATGCCGACGATACGGCGATTGCAATTAAATCCATTCAAGCTAATCATGCAATAGACAAAATGCAAAATTACCTCTATGCCGTAGAAGACTGGTGCACAAATTGGCGAGTAAAAATCAATGCTAGCAAGTCACAACTTTTAATTCTTAGCAAAACTAAGAAAAACATTGCTTTTAAAGACCTCTACCTTTTTCAGGAAGCTGTTCCTCTGGTCACAAAGGCCAAATACTTAGGAATTATTTTGAACCAAAGGCTCACATGGTCTAACCACATTAATAGTGTCAAGAGCAAAGCCATGGGCATAATATGCAGATTTCTCCCGGTCATTGGAAAATATTCAAATCTTAGCTTGCGTACCAAAAAAACATATATATACCACTTGCATTCGACCGATACTTTGTTATGCTGCTCCTGCTTGGAACACGGTCACTCAAACTCAACTGCATCAATTACAAGTAGTGCAAAACAAATTTCTGCGCATTATCACACTATCTTATCCGCAATAAACTTTTACACAGAGACTTAAAACTTGAGACGATTCCAGATTACATTAGAAGATCTAATGAAAAATTCTTCAACAAAGCTGTGCAATGTGACTTTGTTAATTACTCCCAAGTCTTTAATTATGAAATTCTCTTCGAAGATAGAAGTGTCAGACCACTTGCAGCTCACACCTTCATGGGAGGAGATGACAACTTTTTCACTTAGATCCTCAATTGTTAGCTATTTATACTTCCAATGCATCTGATTTTGATTGAAGTTCTTCTGTAGCTTTGAATATTGTTCTTGAGATTGGTAAAACTAGTGCTGTGAGATTTTTCGCATTGGGTGATGAAATAGTGGTGTTGTAACGAGGTAGTCTAGGTTCTTGAATTGCTGTAGTGAATTGTTGTATAGTTGTATTGAATTGTTGTATGTAATTAGCACTACTGATTGATGTTGTTTAATTGTATTTGAATTTGTCATTGGAACTATTGCTGTAGTGTATCTTCTCGTATTGTTGTCATTGATTTCCATTGTCTTGGGTCCTCCTTGAAAGCTATGATCGCTCGTCACATTTTGCGAACTTGTCCGATTGGATTGTCTTGCTCCTTTTGGTACTTCTCTTCTTCCCCTTATCTCCGTTTTCTCATCTGAGATTTTCTCCACGTCCGGATTTATTTATGTCAAGTGCCCTTGGGCTTTAATTCTGGAACCGGCAACATTGCTCTTCGCAATAGCTCGGTCAATTATAGAGTCTAAGTCCTTGTTAGATAATGCCATCTGGCCTTGTTTTAAGATCACTTTGGTTTAATAAATATACCTCTGATCCTCATTAAAGCAGGTTCGCTTTTGAAAGGGAGAGTATAAATTAATACTTGCCTTCTGCAAAACAACAAGTAGTGGAGTGTTTTCATAGTCATGGAGCTGACTATACTAGTACACATAAGCAAAATATTGAAAGATTGTGGGTTTCGAAAAATGGAGCAGTAAACACCATGGAACCGCGCGACACCTCATAGATTCGTTTTAGGCGAATTTTGACAGTTTTGTTGCTATTTTAAGCCCCATTAAGAAATTTTGACTGTTGAGATGATCAACTTTTTTTTCATGAATTTGTTTGTCAGAGGATCTTAAAGCTTGATCTCGTACCTATTTAAGTTTTTACTTGCTATATATTTGTCTTCAAACTTCTGCCTGAATGGTTGGCGCAAGTTTGGTGGGATCTCTGTTGACTTTCTAGGTCGACGGGAAAATGTGTAACTACCGTTAGTTTTATTACACACTGTGTGCGCAAGAATTCTTACCCAGCCTTTTTTCCCGCAGCACTTGGTCGTAAACATTACAAAAGTGTTTTAAATGACGCAAAAATTCTCGTTTCGGTATTTTCAAACTTCATGCCAATTTTGTGAAAATACGGCATCTAACTTTTTATACGTTCCCTCCGGACGCTGTACTTAAGTTTGGAAAAACGTTATGCGCCTTATAAAATGTATAATACAAAAAGTTTGACAAAAATTGACAAAGATATTTATTTTCAAAATTTGCCATTAATGACGTCATTTTCGATTTGTATTTAAGGGTCGGTTATTAAAAAATTAGAATAATTCGAAGTTTATTTTTTAACGTCATTCAAAGATATTCTTTTGAGATTTACTAGCAATATGCCGAAAGAATTTTCACACGAGAAATTTATAACTTTTCAAATATGTTATTAGCATTTTCATGAAGTTTTATTACTTTAGAATCATAATCTGGTAATCATGCAAAAAATTTCTTAAACTACAAATATTTTTCATATCTAATTAATGCAAATAATACTACAAGTTGACTACGTGCTACAACTGAAGCCCAACAGTGTTTCTTAGAGCTCAAATTCTGCCAGATTCTGTGAATAAGTTCTCCATTTTGAAAAAAAAAAAAAAAACTTTAATTAATACATTTCAAAATAATCTTGTGGTAAAAATGCGCGTCACTTGATGTATTTACAACAGAAACTTTTTAATAATCTAATATTTTATTTTTAGTTGCGTTCAAATGCAAACATTTCTATCTTCCCTTTTTTTTTTTTGCAGTCCCTGAAAACGATGTTCGACTTTACTATCGAATATCTCGGTCAATTTTTTTCCCAAAAGTTTTGTATTTCATTTGCATTTTGAGTGTCAAACGCTTTGTATTTCACTTTTTATAATGAACAGTTTCTCCTGTATATAAGTATGGAGACCTAAGGAGCATATAAAAAATTAGATTTCGTAATTTTTACAAAATTGATTTCTTTATATTTAAAAGTGCTAAAACAAGAATCTTTGCCTCATTAAAAACGTTTCGTAGCTGGAAATATATATCAACGGCTGCGAAATTAAAGGCCAGATAAAGACTTTTTCGGAGAAAGGTGTGTATAGTATCTGCTTTAAAAAATAAAAGAAAAAGAAATTTTTATCTAATAATGTGCAATTTTATGATCTCATTTCAAAGGTAAATTGAATAAAAGAACGTATTTTCGCATGCCGAAGTGTTGTACTCATAGTGTTAGTGTTAACAATGATATAAATACGTTAGATTTGCATACGAAGTAAATAACACCTATATTATTCGATCATCAATTCCATTTTTTAATAATACAGTAGAACTCCAATTATCCGAATCAATTGGGATCGGACAACCATTCGGATAATCAAAAATTCGGATAACTGGATTTTTACCAAAGGAAGAATTTATGTACACTTTAATTAATTACTGTATGTACTGTATGTTGAAAATGGTAGAAAAAAAAACTATTTTTTAAAGAAAAAGACGTTTTAGTTAATTAAAATGAAAAGGCCACACTGTTATATAGCGCATTGCGCAGTATTTACAAGTGCTTAAAATCATTGCTTGCTGAACATCTCGGTCAAAGTAAGCTGTTTGGCTGTCTTCATCCGTTTTCGGGCAGCCAAGTCTCGCATCCGCTTGAGTATGAGAAGTTGCATATGGTCACACTCGGGCTCACGCTTCACCGAATGCTGACCATTGGCGGTCAAGTCGTAAACTATAAAGAAAGAAAAACACGGAGGTGCAAAGGAACCATGGAGGTAGGAAGTTAGACCTGTCTTACCTCCATGCAGTGGAGTAACGAGCATAACTGGCGCCCAGGTCAAAATACCTTTTCGGCGCCCCCCTTTCCCGAAAAAAACATAGTTATATGATGAAAATCTTCTTAGGAGACCATTTGGCGCCCGGGGCATCATACACCCCACCTCCATGGCCTTTATGAAAGGAACAGAGGGGACTACTCGCATCCGAGTTGTGGGAAAATGTGGGGGCATTTAAACATCTTACTTCTGTGCATTCAGTTTCATAGACAGGAAAATATAGAGAAACTGAATGCACTAGGAGACGGTGTCTCACCATTCCTGTAATGTTCGCGCTGGGCCACACTAGCTTCGTGGAGGGAAGGACATTAGCGCGCGTAAACAGAATCATTATTTTGCGAATTGCAGTACATTTCCGTCTTAAATTTTTTCTGAAATTCTGAAAGCGATTCGGATAGTCGGAATTCCGAAAACTGGAATTGAACTGTGTTCCCATAATGCCTTAGACTCCTCGTTATTTTGCTCCTACAACAAGTAAATCTCATGTGATCTTTCTTTGTATAATCTAACAACTGAAATTTTCTTTCAGTTTCGGATTGCCCAAACAACTGGATTGACTGTGGCAACGGACTATGCGTTGCGAACATGTGGGCTTGTGACAATGATAATGATTGCGGGAACATGAAGGATGAAGAAAATTGTGGTGAGTAATAAATTGCTAGACTATTCGAATCAGTAGATGTAAAAAGGTCTAAGACAATTTTTCAAAAGTCAGATTAATGGTGGGAATTATACCAAGGCCTAAGGGGTGAAACGGGAGACTGTAATTCGCAGAAGTTGTTGAAAGGTGCGCATTCACATGACCCGTTTTTACATTGTAGTCAGTACAAACCTTGAACTTTCTTTATAAACACAGCAAAACAATCGTTTTTCAATGGATCCCTTCACATGTAGGTATCGACGGTAATGAAACGGCAGAGTCATTAACCAAGAGAGGGCCACTTGAGCCACAAGACAGCAAACTCCTTTCTCAAGAGTTACCTAAATTGAGAAATTAATGAATACTCTTAAATCTGACCAAAATCAAGAGGCAAATCCTAAGCTAACATCCAAGACATATGGAAAACGTTTTGTCAAAAACCCCGTAAAGAGGCTGTAGCAAACTTCATACTGCAAACAGGCAACGATTACATGGCACGTCATCTTAATTAAATTGGCATCCTTCCATCTAGTATATGCCAACTTGCAATTCTGGCATCATGAATGTAGAGCATCTTCTTACAGTGGGTTAAGAAAAGTATTGGCAATTGGCTGTAATTGATCGCTTTTGCTAACAAAGGAAATACTTGACAATTTTAGCTGGACATAACGAACACAGGAGGTAGTAAACACACAAATCTAATGAAAACTTTTAATATGCTTTTTACACAAAATATACAACAAAAACGTAAATTTGCATGTCAAAAAAGTATTGGCATACAGCAAAAATGTTGGAACAAAATTTTAATACTTTGTATTCACACCTTTTGCATTTATAACAGCTTTTAATCTATTTCTCATAGAGAAAAACAGTCTTGGTTGTACTATTGGGAATTTTATGCCATTATTGCAAGAGTATAAGCTTAAGTTCATCTTTACACGAATTTCTATGTTTCCTGACTTTTAAGCTCAATTTATACCATAAATTTTCAATTGGATTAATGTCAGGCGATTGAGGCGGTGTCTTTAACTGGCGAGGAACGTTATGGAGTAACCACTCCCGGGTGATATTCGCTGTATGCTTAGGGTCATTTTGTTGTTGTAAAACGAATGATGTTCCTAACCCAAGTGTTTGGGCGCTGAATTTCAAGTTATATGGTGCAATATGTCAATGTACTTAAGTGCTGTCATAATACCATCAAATGATGCACAGGTTACCAACTCCGTTTACTGCCATACAAGCCCACACTATGACGCTCCGTCCACCTTGTTTCACAGTTGGTGTTAAATGTTAGTTTTCTATTTCGATGTTTGGCCCACCAGCGGCCGAGCGGTAAAGTCACTGAATACTGGTAGTTCAATCAGAGGTTCGAATCCCGCGAACGGGCTGGCTGCATGGCTGTTTTCATGGTTTTCCCCATTTGTAACGTGTATACGAGCCAGTTTCCCTTAGAAAGTCCTCCACGAAGGCATCCATTCCCTTAGGCAGATAGCCCTAGTGTGCTTTGCCATAATTAAATACACCATCACACTACCATTTCGATGTTTGACTTTCTCCACACATATTGTCGTCCATCACTCCCAAAAATGTTAAACTTCGATTCGTCAAAGAAAATAACTGTGTTCCAAAACCCGTCTGGTAAATTAACATGAGATTTTGAAAAAATCTAATATCTTTCTCTTGTTTATTTCTGAAATGAAATGTTTCTTTTTAGCTGCCCTTCCATAACTTCCTTCATGTAAAACATTCCGTATACTCTGTACACTAAATGTTTTATGCGAAGTATTAGCAATAGCTTTGGCTAACTGGAGTACACTTATTTTAGAGGTTTTCTTTACTTCTTTGATAATGCCACGCTTTTTCCTTGCAGAAAATATTCGAGGCCATCCACTTCTAATCGTTGTTTTTCGTCCATCCTGTCTCTTTGATGTATTTTACAACACTTCAAACAGTAAATAAACATATTTAGTTTGGGTCGTTAATATACGAACTATGGGATTCGTGATAAAATGTTATTAATAAACTGATGTCGTAGAAAAGTTCTGAAATTTGCGATTAAAAGATACTCGCATATTCTTTAGTTAACAAGGGAAAAATACTGCTTATAGAAAATTAAGGCGTAATCAATATCTAAGTATACCAACTAAGTCAGTTAGAGGTAGTATGGAAAAAAGCGAAAATGTATGCCATTGCATTCATGTCATCTTATGTGGCATATGACTTCACAGTTGTTATAATCCTTTAGTCAAGTAACGCCGCCATTTTCGTATGCATTATTTTATTTATTTATTTATTTATTTTTTTTTTTTTGCTGTATTCCGAATTCCAGAGGTTTTTTTAATAAATAAATACATCATGATATGTTTGCTTTAAACATTTCGAAAATATGAGTTGTGGAATTTATCAGGAATAGAAAAAGCTGCAGTTAAATTTTTGCAAGAATACAGAATTTTGTTGAAACTTTTCTAAAGGGAACAATGAGGAAATGCATTTCCTCGATAGCCGCTGTGCCGACGATTGCACGAAACCGAGTTTGGGCAATTCTCTGATTTTTTTTTTTTTTTAAGCTAAAACAAATTGTTGTGTACTTAAGAGAAGAATAAAGAAGAAAAAATGCAAGAGGATTTGAAGCAGAATATAGGTGTTTTATTTTTAATTTATAACGTAATGCTTATTTAATAATTCAACTTTGTATTTTAAGTTGCTAAAGTATGCTTTATTTTCATATGTTGATAACGTTTACAGACATATGAAAAATATCCACAGCTTGGGAAGCTTTCTAAAAAGGTGCTCAAACCAGCAACTTATCCGATAAGTAACTTTCATTTTTTCATCTCTAAAAAATCTCCAAATTGCGCCAAGGTGTGTGTACTAATACGTCAGATAATAATAAAAAGCCTTAGGATTAAATTCCTATACACTGTTTGAAATAGTATATTTATTAATTTTTCTATTTTTGATAAAAATAAATTTTTCTCAATTAAAATGTTCAAAATTTGTAATTTACGTTTTTTTATATATTACATTGAAACTGTTTATTATTTTTAATGCACTACAAATAAATATTTCATTTAAAAATATTTAATTGTCTAATGATTAGCTTATATTATCCTACAAAGAAATATTTCATTTAGGGCTACTACATATGAGCCTATGAGGTGCACACACTTAAAGTTAGAACTCGGGCGTCTACTAGAAATAAATAATAAAATAAAACAATAAAAAAATAAATAAATAAATAAAATTAATTAATTAAAAAAGGGGGGCATTTGGTTTAAGCCATGATCTCTATTCTGCAAGCTGATGAATGGGTTCCACAATTAACTTAGCGGAAACTACTAAAGGACTCTTTTTTTTTTTTTTTTTTTTTTTTTTTTTTTTTTTTTTTTTCCCCCCTCACGAAGCGGGGGATTTTGAAATGGATTCAGAAGAGACTTTTTTCGTATGTATGCATGTACCTCGCATAACTAAAAAATCAGCAGCCTCAGAAAGTTAAAATTTTGTATATAGGACTGCTATAACATGTAGATGTACACCTTCCTTTTTGGTTGCAATCGGCCGCATGAAAAATATATAAATAAATGTATATGAAGGGTGTACCTTAAATGTTGCGACGAACTTCTAGGGCACATCATAAGGATTAAGAATGGCAAAGAAACCTATACCCGGAAATCTCAGGGGTAAGTGGTAGCAGAAGTAGAACATGGGAAAAGAAACAAGAATGATTAATCAAAACATTTATTGGACATGAATACAAATGGTGTACAACAGCTTGAATGTTACAACAGATGCTCGAAATTTGCTCTATCAGACTCCAAACATGCCTGACAGCAACGGACCATTTGAATGACGCGAATTATTTGATCTTTCTGGAGCAGGTTCTTCCCGATTTGCTTGACGATGTTCCACCTTTGAGGTGCAACATGTGATTCGAACATGATGGAGCCCTGCTCATTTTGGACTGGATGTTCGAAGCCATTTGAACAGATCATTCCCGCATAGATAGATTGGGCGTGGTGAACCAGTTCCCTGACCCTCACGCTCACTGGATTTATGGAGCTTTGATTACTTTTTATGGGAAGCCATCAAAAGTGTCGTGTATCACGATCCTGTTGTGTCTGAAATGGATCTCGTGGCAAGACTTGCCTGCGCAACTGCTACAATCAAAGAAACTCCCGGTGTGTTTGAACATGTCCGGCAGTAAATGGTCTGTCGGTGTCGGGCATGTTTGGCGTCTGAAGGTGCAAACTTCGAGCATCCGTTATAACATTCAAGCTGTCGTACACCATTTGTATTCATGTCCAATAAATGTTTCAAATTAATCACTCTTGTTTCTTTTCCCATCTTCTACCTCTGCTACCACCTACCCCTGACATTTCCGGGCATGGGTTCCTATGCAATTCTTAATCCGTATGATATGCCCTACCTCCCATAGAAAGCTTGTCTCAACATTTACGGTACATTCTGTATATATGCTCACTCTGTTACACAGCTCAGTGAGCTAACTTGTTTTATTCTTATATGTTGGTAAATTGAACATTTTTTGCTTTAAAGGTGATTGAATTATATTTTTCATGTGTTCCAGTTAAGGTTTTTATGTCTTTGGTTAATCTGCATGCAATGCATGTAAAATTATCAACAATTTAAAAGTTATTTAAGTTCTACTAAGGGCGCAGCCATTTGTTTACATTTGAAATTTAGTAGCATAGTAAATTATGTCAATTTCTGCACCAACTTCAGTATGCATTTACCAAGTGGGGCCAAAAGTTCTGAGCACCGAAAATTTAAACTCTAATTTTAATTGTAAAAAATTTTTTTCACTGTTTTTAATTCCATTTGGTGTTTTAGGGTTTTTTTTTTTTTTTTTTTTTTTGTATTTTACAGTGTTTAATGAAGCTGCTTTACATTTTTATATTTTTTTTTCTTGTCGCGAAGTGAGAACGGAATTCATTGAAGGAGAAATATATCTCTAAATGAAATTCGGGGAAATAAGTTTAAATGAAATGTAGGAAAAAATAAGCATAATTTAATAGGCCGTACAAGGAAGTCACGTGCTGTCCACACCAGATTTTTTTTTACTCGCTTTACAACAGCAGATTTCACTGGTGGCATAGCAGACAGGACGCTGAACAACTGGAATTAATTCCGGTTTCCGGTCAGTACGCTGGCTGCAGGAGATTTTTATGGTTTACCCAATGTGTAGCATGATTATTAACCCGTTGTTCTGCCCCAAAGGCAATCATTCTTTTAAATAGATGACTACTGAGTGGTCTGCCGTAATGAACTTTTAGTACACCAATAACCGTAGCGAGATCATTGATATTACATATGACAACTTCACAAATGCATTTATCGTAATATACAAAAATGATCTTGTACAAAAATTATCTTATCTTTTATTATCAAAATTTAAAGTTAAAAAAAAAAAAAAAAAACTTATGTGTCCTTTGTGCTCAACATCAGCCCATTACTGCTCAACATCAGCCCTTTAATAATATATTAATGAAAATATTTTAGAAACTAAGTATTTATTATATTCAGAAACACGAAGTCTGGGAAATAATAATAGTACATCCGGATCCTTTTCATAATAGAATAACCCAGGCCTTACGAAAATGTCTTGCAAAATTGTATAAAAGTTCCAGAGTTAAATCTCTTTCTGTCCTTTAGAATAATGGCTCCATTTTCTGTAAACGTTCTGTTAACATTTATAAAATTCTACACAATTTTAGATATTTCTTCCATAGAGTTACGTGGGAATATTCTATAGAGATTTATGCAGATATTCGATAAAAATCTGAGCAGTTGTCAAAAGTTCGTACTTATAAAATCTTACATAATTTGCACAGAATCAACTAACATAATTCTAATGAAAATATCGTATTTAGTTTATAGAAAATTGGGCATAATTCTAAGAATTTTGAACAAGCTTCCTAGCTTTTTCTATAAAAGATTCTATAGAAACTTTTGAGTATTCTAAAAGCATTATTACATCAATACATTTTTGTTTAGGATTAAAAAGAATGAATTAAATTTAAATTTATTAACCTAAATTTTGAAATAATCTTTGACATGGAGGGGAAAAGGAATAAAATCTTTGAAACATCTGTGATTTTTCTCCTTAATAAAAAAATTGAGTATCTTTTCGATTAAAAAACCATTTTAAATAAAAATACGTTTTAAATGATAAATAAATGTAATTAAAATTAAGAAACGATTTCTCTTGACACGTTGACTGGCAAGCCGAATTTGTAAGAAAATGTCCCTTAAGCCGCGACCGCTGCTATACCATGCTTCAATTGCTTCCGATAGTAGGAGTTTAGAACGTCTAAAACAAAACATTTTGGGACATGCATTCAGTTTAAAACTTTTCTCAAGAACGAAGTATCTAAGAAAAGGTATGATATTCGAAAATTCTTTTTTTTTTTTTCCAAATATTTTTTCTGTACTAACAAGTGGTTGAAATATTTTTGTGGTAAAATTGTTGCCCCAGCTTTTTGCAATGTCTAAAAGAGAAATGAGCTAGTAATATTTTAAGTGAATCATATATAGCAGTGAAGAAGAAGTTGCGAGGCTTAAAAAAATTCGAAAAGTAGCGATGAGGAAGAGTCGAGATTTTTCAGAAACATAATTATAAACAAAATTTTAGATCTTCAGATTTTGATTTGAATACTGACAAATGCAGTGATGATAAATGTGATGCAGATACAGGAATTGGTTGTTTAGGAGGAAAGAAAAGTTAATACCAATCAAAGCACAATTCTGTTTAGTAAGCGAATGATTTTAGCTGCCGGCAATAATCATTTTCTTTTCTTTCCTTCAACAATCATTTTCTCAAATGCCTACTGTACCTCATAAGTACTCAAATAACTATCTCTTGAATACGGATGACGTGGCCTGATCACAATTTTTGTCGACACCGACACCCGAATACGAGTGACGCGTCAGTCAAAGTGTTAAACAGAAAACTACAGTAGAATCCCAAAAATTCGACTCCTAATTACTCCGACGTTCCACATAACTCGACGACTACACTGTTTTTTTAATCCTTACATGATTTCTACTAGTCAAGCAGACATCGAAATAATACGGTGGTTTAGAAATAATTATATTTACAATTTCTAACATCGCCTGTATAGCATAAACAGTACAAGTGCATTTGAACGACAGCATTATTGTAGATACTGTACATATTTATGCTGTAGATACTGTACATATTATTATTTATATTTATGAAAATCCACGTTTTCTGTTTTGTTCAAAGATTTGTTACAGTTGTCTGATTTTGCAATTTTCATCTCTTTTCCATTGTGACAGTGTTTCTTGGAAGCTGTGTAAGGAACTAAGTGATAGAGTTTGATCTATTCATGGATATTTTAATCTACCGTATTCATTCTCTCAATAACAAAATGGCGGAAGAAAGTCGGGTAGCCACTGTCGTTTACCACTCACATTCTTTTCTGTTTCTAGCCATTAGCAAGCTTAATTGAAGAGTTATGGCTGTACTCTGTTATAAAGCTAAACTTTCAGTTCATTCTTAGTAGTATTTATTAGTTTATATACGGTTTTACTAGTGTTGTTTTACCTTTGCAAATGAAAATGTCGAATGAGAAGAAAATGAAACAAATTAACATTAAGAGGGAAAGGAAACTGGTCCCCTTAAGAGAACTGGGGAAAGTATTAATAAAATGACCACGGATTTAGGTATAGGATGAAATAAGGAGCTGCGAATAATCCATTCTTTCTTCCGGTAACCTTGGCATTTTTGGTAATTTGTTATTCTTTCTGTCTACATTTTGTCGAGTTTGCGGGTCTCTACTATATTGCTCAGTTCAAAACTGCGTACTTTATAAAATACCCTATACTTTCCTAACGCGAAGAAAACTTATACCTCGAAATAGAAAAGTCAAAAAAAGTGTTTTTAACAGTAAAATCTCTTTCCAGTTCTGGAGATTTTACTCTGAATACGGTTTTAAACTTTTCATACTCTGTAGGATTATGATATATTAACGAAAGACTTTCCTTTAAATTTCCTTTTTTTCGCATTTCTCTCTCAACAAAACATAATGAAACAAAAAAAAATTGTATTAAAGAACTTTGCAATTAGAAGGAAAATGCAGTAAATTTGTAACAATTTACCATTTATTTTTCTTTTACAACATTCCATTCAGTACACAGTTTGCTGAATACATAACGTATGAGGGTAGTGGATCAAACTTTTTGGAATATAATTTTGATACTCATGAATTTAACATTCGATTGCATGCATGTAAGGGGCAAATTTTTGAATGCTTTTAAAATTACAGTTTAGCATTTACTTTTGGAACATCAAATTTTCTCCATTTCTTTTCATTGGTTTAGAAGGTGAAGATGTCCACGTGAAGTGTTTAGCTAATCAGTTCAAGTGCGATGATCACTGCATTCCTGAAGTTTGGCTTTGTGACGGGCAACCCGACTGCTTAGACGAGACAGATGAAAGAAACTGTGGTATGATGATATTGTTATATTACCAATTTAAGCATTTTTCATGACTGTAAGTAACCGCAAATAGTCTGAAAAATAAGTTTATAACTTTTTTTGTTTGTGGACCTCTGAGTTCTGAATTTTTAAATATGTGCACCTCCGTATACTTGTACGCAATATTCCTAAATATTCATCTGCAGAATGTCAAAAGCTGATAATAAAATAGTTAAACAATTAGATTAAATACCTATTTTTAGGTTATCAAAATGTAATAATTAAGCAATTAAAATGTTATAAAAAATATGAAAATTACAAGTTTCGAAAATTTTGATTGATAAAACATACAGAAACGCTTAAAAAGATTATTTCAAATAACATATACAAATTTGTTCCTGAAATTATTAAAATAGTATTCTATTAAATAGGTAGGCCATACTAATGAGATCCTATTGGCTGATACTTTATTTCATATGCTTACGAATTTTGTATACATATTAATAATTTTAGCGAAATTATACGTAAATTTTTAATTTCTCTTATATAATGTAACATAAAATGCTTAAGAAAGCGTACCTTTGCCAGAAAAATAAGATTACAAAGGTTCTTCGCACATTTTTTAGAAGATTTTCCTTGTAATTACAGATATATTTTATCTAAAATTTTTATGTTTTGAATCTTCTATTTGATAACCCTTAATCTTCGCCATCTCCGTACACCGTAATTTGCAGGACAATTAAGTCTTTTGTAGTATCGGAAGAAGTATTTTATCCCATTGCACTCGAACAGCTTTTGAAAGTCAAAAGGAGGTTTAGACAACCCGCTTTTTAAAAGTCCAAAAGCGCAAAAATACATCGGTGATAGATCAGGTGATTAAGTAAAAATATGAGTGAAAGGTATGGCTTTGATACCCGTTTTTTGTTCTATTTTTCCCAGGAAACTAACAGTGGGTTTTAACGTGTAGTTTTTGCCTTGCCTTGATGCAGTTCTACTGATTAAACACATTTAGAGAGAATCAATTTCATATTTGAAAACCGGGTATGAAATATGTTTTTGATAATATGTGAAGTTGATTTTAACATTTTTTTCTCCACTCTTTATTTTTAATTTGCCCTTGTACGAAAAACCTTCAACAATCATAAATCCCTTAGAAAAATTTTCTTTAGATTCCTTGAACCATGTTTTAAGATTCTTTTTCTCTTCTTGGATGATAATAAATGTATCTCTTTTAATTGCAGTCATTTAAGTACATTCAAGATTCGTCTATTGTGACAACATTTCTTCATTTTTATCTGGATAAATGTTCTCATAAAAGAATTCTATAGCGCGTTCTCCGTTTGGCAGTATGTCGTGGAAAAAGACTATGCCCATCATGTTTGTTCGCCTTTTTAAGATTCAAACTGTTATTAATCGCTTTATTAATAGTTAACACTTAGAATTTTAATGATTTTGCAACTGTCCTTTTACCTGGCGGATTTTCCTTTAACAGTTAAGATCTTATTCTTGCAACATTCGAAACATTCCGTTTTTTTCCTTGGATATGTATTTGGAGTAATTTTTCCATTTGAAGCTAAATTTGGACGTTTTTCCCCTTATTGTTGACAACATTACCTATCTCCAGGCATTGAAAAACCATGTCTTTCACAACGTTTTTTAATAACTAGATAGAATAATTTTCGTCGGAAAGAAGACAAACATAACCATCCATCCATTGCTTCTTTAAAAGCGAAATTTTGCGTGAAAACAAAGCTGTCAAGCACCAGGCGATAAATTATACTTTCAAAAATATGGTTGCAGTTAAAAAAATTCCAAATCGATTTTTTTTTACGGCTATGCAAAATCATCGAAAAAAAATGTGGTAAAAACCTTAGTACACGGGCAAGTCAATTTAACATTGATGTAAATGGCCATCTCGCTTAATTGGCGGTGGATATAGCGACTCATTTTTATCGTCAATTGCTTAAAGGCGTCAAACTTAGCTCCCATTTGGAGATATTTTGGTCTAGTCCAGTATAACTATAGTTGGTAATGTAGCTGAATAATTGTAATTGAGTCCTGTATGTAACTGTACCGCTCTTTCCCTTATATGTAACTTTAACTATTTATGCCTTCCAGTAATTCAGAGAAATGAAAAGTATTAGTCATTTATCGTTGGCTAGCGAAAAACCCGAGTTCGAAGAGAACAACAGTTTTAGTACAGAGTTAGATAGATCTCAATGCGAGCTTCGCTCTTTAAATTCGCTTTGCATTGCATTCTGTTTAGCGTTCTTAATAGAGTGATAATTACTGATTGTACTCTGTCATACAGAGAAGTACTTTTGTAGAAAGTTCTAGAACTGTAAAGTGTTTCTTTTATAAAAATAATATCATCGGTTTTGTGTGCACTCAATCCATTACGAATCCGTACGCGAGCAGCAGTTTTTGATGTCAACAATGGGGCTGAATGCCAGTGACAAGAGCGATTGAGGAGCAACTAAGAGAGACTGCTAGCAGTCGTTGTTGCATTTAAAGAAGAAATGAAATCGGACCAAGAATCTATTAATGAAGAGATTCAAGAAAAGATGGGGAGAGGCCGTCAAATCAGTTTCAGAAAATCTCCAAGAACATCAAGAAGAAATGAAAAAAGATATAAAAAACAAATAATTGAAAACAAATGCTATGATAACAAATTCCATGATAGAAAACTAATTCGAGGCTAGGGAATACAGATTAGACACTGTTGAAAATAAAGTTTGAGAAACTGAAGAACTAGTTTCGGCTGCCCAAACTAAAAAAACGGAGAAAGAGTTCCTGTTATCAAACAACAAACTGATGACACAGTCTGTCGCCGTCGCCAAGGAAGTTAATTAAAAAAATCTGATGTGTACACCACATGACTTCCTTGTACGGAATATTAAATTATACGCATTTTTCTTGCATTTCATTTAAACTTATTGGATTGAATTAAATCTACTTCGCCGACAGCGCATAAACCACAATAGAATAAATGCATTCTTTAAAATTCCCTCTAGTATTTGTTTACCATAGCGACACTCTGGCGCTAGATTCACTTAAAAATTATTACTGTAACTAAATTTGTATTACTCTCAGTTTGCGCGCAGTGCTTCAGTACAAATTTAGAATTTTCGGAAAATACAGTTAGTTTTTTCTTTATAAAACAAATTATTATTCACTATTAAGTAAAATAAATCAAGAAAGGTAATCATCTATGTATAAAGATGACACACTGAAAATTTCATATATCTATGACAAAAACAATTTGACTTATTAAAACTCGAAAATCAGCTAAAATTCTCACTTTTTGTGTAGCGCAAAAATGATGACTCCCTTCAGTATTATATTTCGTTCATATTATAACTCATAATGCACAAAATTTATATCATTTAAAGAATAGAATTATCTAATCGTTGCCACATGTTCTATTCAAATACTATAATAAAGCTAGAATAATGTATAAAAGAAATTAAGCAAACAAAACAAAAGAGAAACAGTTTTTCACAGACGATTGAGTATTTCTCATTTAATTAATACAGTTCTCCCTTCGCAAGAAGGCAAAAATACATAAAAACTCAAAATATATATAGTAAAAAATTACGAAGTAAATAAATCTCAACACTTATTTCCTCGAAAAAAATTCCAGAAAGAATTAAGCATGATTTAATTGGCAATAATAAATGAATGCGTTATCTTTGTTGTTACGAAGCTAAGTTTCTCTAGATTGGCAACAAATCCACTAGTCTCCTGTTCAATGTAAACATCAATTGCAGCCATTAAAAACAGGCTTAGCGACAATTAAACAACTTTAAAATTGCTGATAATTCTAAAAATATTGCACATGCAGATTTAACTAAAGGCATAAAAACCTTAACTGGAAGATAAAAACAATATAATCTCAACCATTTTTAAAGCAAATAAAATGTAAGCAAATTTACTAACATAGTATAAGAGTAAAAGAAACTGAGATCACTGAGCCGGGTTAACAAAGTGGATATATATATAAGTATATAGAGTGGATATATGTTATTTATATACGTTTGGTGCGGCCGATTGCAACCAAAATACGAAGTGCACATCTACATGTTATAGCAGTCCTATATACAAAATTTCAACGTTCTGAGGCTACTTGTTTTTGAGTTATGCGAGATACGTACGTACGTACGCACGTACGTTCGTACAGAAGCCACGAAAAATTCTCTTCAGAATTAATTTTAAAGCAGCTTTATAATTTTTTTGAAGGAAAAGAGTATTTTATTCTGTCCTTGCGTACAGATATCACGCAAAAACATCGTTAAATTGCTTTCGATAGCGGTCAAAATGGATATTTTCGTTGAAATATGCTGCTTGAAACTTTTCGCGATTACAATACTTCCTTTTTACTTGGTACAAGGAAGTAAAAAATCTATAATGACAGCTGGTCACAACTCTACCGCCTTTAAATTTGAACATATGTCGTCCCAACCCATTCTAAAACTATCTGCATATGATGGAAAAACCTCTTGAAAAGTGTACAAGATGTATTTGCATAGTTACAAACGCAAATGGATGGGATTCGGAAGCTAAAGCCTGCCACTTTGCCGCTCCTCTGAGAGCAAACACAGCGGATATTCAAACTCTTCCCGAAAACCAGAGGACAGATTTCGAAGCTTTGGCCGGCGCATTGGAGCTGCGCTTTGGCGAGAAGTGTTTAAGACTATAGCAGGCTTCAGTTAAAATCTTGCCAACAGAAGCTCGCGAAAATACTCAAGGAGCTCGCCACGGATGTTAAAAGGCTGTCTTGTCTCGCGTTTTCAGATTGCCCATCAGAAACAAGGGAAATCCTATCCGTCCAATATTTCATTAATGGCATCCGATATACAATTTCATTGATGATTCCGATATACAAAAATTCCTGCAAATGGCGGATGTCAAGGATCTAAAAAGCGCATTTAGCAAATCAATGCCCTTGAGGCCGAATAGGAGTAACGACAAATTGATCATAAAGTGTTGGAACTGTACTAAGGTGGTGAAGGCCATGTTCGAAGGAACTGTAGAATATTCCAAAGCACAGAAGTTAAGATCGTTCCCTGACATGAAGGCAATAAACAAATTAGCGGCCATCTCACAGAGCGCAGGTTGCCAGATAATAAGAAGCCCCGAGTTCCTTACAACATGGCCATAGATACAGGAACTAATACTACCATCATCCGAAAATTTTGGTTCAACAATTGGAAGGTGAAATCATCTGCGTGCCTCTCTGGAATTTTCCTTCAGATTGTGTACGGTGATAAAATCGATCTATGGAAAGTTAAATGTTAACATCACGTTTAAAAAGGCCGTTTACCATCACAAGAGCTTATGCGGCAAATATTACAGACCCTTGCATAGCCGGACTATACTTTTTCAGAAAATACTGTTTTTCTATATTTTTCTATTTTCCACTATTTTAAGAAAGTATTGATAAATGTTTATTAAGTTAAATCCAAAATTTAGTTAGAAATGATTTTTCATTTTGCTAAGGAAAAAAAAAATCTCGCTTGTCAGCTGACTTCAGATAGGGTATTCTCATTGCATGCAGTTTGTTTAAGGTGATATTTTATTTTCAGAAGACCAGGAGTACCTACGCCACGTTTTCTTATTTGTACAAAAATGAAGCATAATATCAGTCATTCTGGAGGGGGATGTTATATAGTTTCAAATTTTAAAAAATAAGCAAACTGAATATTATATCTATTCTTCTGGCTTTGTGTTCTTTTTGAAATTATTGTGTTCTTTTTATGACAACCATCAAATTAAAGTTATTTTTTATAGAACGATCACCTAAATTTCCTCTCCTCGTCTTATTGCCACAACTTTATTAGAACATGTGCCGCACTATTGTATATGATAATTAATCTTCGTATTCAAAATATAGTAAAGTTTGCCATGGTGACTATCTCCCGAAGATGACCAGTTCTGAAACTGATAACTATTTATGAAAACATAAATTAAACTAGTACTGAATTTCATTTCTCTAAGCCGATTGATTCTGGTATAAGGTATTTCTCCCGCTTTCCTAGTGTGCCTTCGTGGTGTAGTGGTTCTGCACGCTGGGTCGGTATTCCGGAGGTCCGTGGTTTGATTCCCGGAGAAGGCGATGCTCATTTTTCATTTCTCCTGCTCCTAAAAAAATACTTAATGTGTCTACACCACTAATCATAGCATGTCGTCTTAGACAGGATTATAATTTTCCTTCATAAGTAGGCCCATCGATAAAATCATCTCACGGTTTATAACAAGAACTGTAAGTACACTATTTGAATTTACTCCAATAATGCATTTTAATTGGTAGTATAATTAGTTAAAAAAGGTATATTGTGCATTCGCAGTATGACACTTGTCAAGAAAAAGGGACATTTTTTTTTTTTTTTTTTTTTTTTTTTTTTTTTTTTTTTTTTTTTTGACATTTCCAAATGCTCTTAAAATATGTTCCTCTATTTCACCTTTTGCACAAGGTGTCCCAGAATTCACTCAAGAGTAGAATTTTGTACTATTTATGCAATAAAGTGTTGCCGACGAAACAAAGACAGAGGAACAGCTGACATTTCAGGGTTATTAAAACTGAGTGCTACACTAAAGAACAATGCGTTTTTATTGGTGAGCAATATTTAAAAAAAATATTGAAGGTCTGACAACTACAGCTTACTGAATATAGCTGGAATTGTGATTTAACTTCATTAATTGAGGAGAGATTATCTAAAAAAATTAGGGAGACGAGATCAATTAGTAATCTTAAACACTTTGACAGTCGTTCAACAGAAAACATTGAAGGAGTTTATGAGAGTGTTACTGAAAGTCCAGGACTATAAATTTGGCAACGTGGTCAAGAATTGGACATTTCGAGAAACTCTCTACAGCGTATTCTTACGAAAGATTTGCACCTTCATGCTTGCAAACTTTAATTGACTTCAGAACGGAAGCCTACTGACCCGCAAAGCGAAGAGCTTTTGTTGAGTAGATTATGGAACAGGAAGTGGATGTTGAATTTTTGAACAAAATCATCTTCAGCAATGAGGCTGATTTTCATCTTGAGGGTGTGTTTAATCGACAAAATTGCCACATTTGGAGTACAGAAAATTCACAAGTGATTGTGGAGAAACAAATGCATTCACAACGTTCACTGATTGGTGTGGATTTTAGGCTGGAGGCATCATCCGACCATTCTTCTTCAAAAATGCGACTGATCAAGCTCCCTATGGCGAATTGAAATTTCAGTCTTTTGTGCGTAAATTGCAAGATATGGATGTTGACGGCATATGGTTTCAACAAGGCGCTGTCACATGCCATACTGCTGAACTATTCAATGACTCCATGAGTTATTTCCTGGTTGTGCAATTGCCTATTTTAGATATCAGAATTGGGCCCCCAGATCATGCGATTTAACGTCGCTGGACGTTTTTCTTCGGGGGGGGGTTTGAAGTCTAAAACTTATGCCAACAAGTCCACGACACCCACACCTTGAAAGAGGAAAGGGAGGAAAATTTCAACAAAACAGTGCGTACGTGCCAGCAAAACCATGGAGGCCATTTAGTTGATATGCTATTTCATACATAATGATATACTGTATACGTTATGAACCAATAAAAAAGTTTACAATTTTTAATTATAAACTTGTATTTTCTATCATAATTACTGCTTGCGTGAATTTTGGGACCCCCCGTTAAAATTTCTCACCTTAGTATAGTCATCACTCGTCACAACGTCAAATATCTGATGAAGTGAGTAATAAATATATTATTTGCCGATTTAGCTGAGTGATTGTTAATGCACTGAATTCCATGGCTGTTTAATATGTTAGGTTCCTTAAAAATATATTGAAGTATCTTGAAAATAGCATGGGGATTCTCCTATCATCCCTTAGCAAGGACTGCGTGAATTTTTCCTGCAACCTTTTTCTAGATAAACATTGAATGATTTGTCTTAATTATTGAAACAATTAATTTGGAGGTCTGATAGAGTTGTTTCACGTCGAATCTGTGGATTGCTGCTTAGAAAATTTAGACTAAAGAAAATTTTCTGTCGTTTCAAATTTTGTTCCTGTTGTAGTTTCAGATTTAAAATAAAAGATTTTAATTACTGCTTTCTTCTGAATAGAAGCTGTCGTAAGATGTAATGGTCACCAATGTCGAGACCTTCATTGCATACCTTTGCAATGGACATGCGATGGAGTACGAGACTGCCGTGATGGTTCTGACGAAGAATTTTGTTCTCAACGTGAGTACCGGGACTCTCTGTAACAATATTCGCCTTAATTAAGTGTAAATTTTCTAGTTGAAGAATTGGTGTAATGAAGATTTTCCACGTTTAATCGTTAATTTTTGGACTGTATAAGTATTACTGATGACTTTCCATGGTATCTGGCTATTTTCTTTTAAGTAACAAAATCAACATGCGTACAATAACCAAGACTATCAAACATATTCTTTAGGTCAATATTTCTCAACCATTGTAAAATACTTTTCAATTTTCAGGAAGCACTTACATAAAGATTGTTCTTATTGCAGATCGTAGTATTTTAGATGGATTCATTAAACTTACGCCCGTTAATCCAAAATAACGGTAAATGCCTCTTTTCAGTAAGAAATAGTTTTAGCAGATTAATTTATTTTTGTGGAATTTAAAAGCTCATAACTGGGTTGAATCGTTCTCTCTGTGGAAGATATTATATGATTTGTGGGTAATATATATTACGTAATACAGTGTAAGGTATTTTCTCCCTCCTTTCTGCATGCCTTTGTGATGTAACGTAGCACACTCTGCTCGAGAGATCCAGGTTAGAGTTCCGGTGAGGGTATTGCTCCTTTTTTACGTCTCCTGCTTTCAAAAAAAAAAAAAAAAAAAAAAAAAAAAAAGTCTGAAAGGTTTCGGATTTTTAATTACGTCCAAAGGGGCGTTTATTAACGTTTTGTTTGTTATCTTTATTTATTAAATATCACGTCCTTTGCACTTAAACCATAAAATTCAGTTCAATAGCAATATCGCAAAATAATTTTAAAATGAGCCTATCTTTAGAACTTCAGATACACAATTCCGTGCGCTGGAGATAAAAAGGTTTTTTCCCCCGTAGAGTGTTGCCATTGCTCGCTTTGAAATCCTTGAGTTTGTTAATCAAAAATTCGTTAAAATTTTACAAAATATGAAATCGATAATAAAACAAATTTCAAATTTGGTCTTTAACATGCCCATATTCGTAGGAGGATTACGTCATTCAAAATTCGATGGCTCTATGTACCGTGTTGTTTTTTATCATAATACGAGAAATATACATATATTTATGCAAATTTTTCATTATTTAATTTCTTCAAATATAATGCAGGACTAACATTTGGTGGCAACAGTTTGAAAAGTGAAGCGGACATTTATAATGATTCAACGCAAAATCGCAAAACGAAAACAATAGTCCTTCAGAGACAAAAGCTCCTTTGGACTAAAAAAAAAACTGATGACTACAACAGATGGGGGGAAACTTTGAATTATATTTCAATTTTATTTTTAAAAGAACCTTGTCTACATAGACTTAAAAACTTACCAAGTATTTGTACCAAATGATACTAAAAAAGTAAGGATTAAAGAGTACAGTTTTTTTTTTTTTTTTTTTTTTTTTTTTTTTTTTTTTTGCTTGAAACAAAAACTAACATTTTACCAAATTTTTCTTGAAAATAAATATATTAATAAGCTTACCAGAGCTTTTTTGAAATCGAACTTTTCTTTTATGAATAAATTAGATTTTTATTTCATAAACTAATGAATTACTATTTTCTATTAATTTCATAAAGAAATCTTTGTTCGTCCCTTATCTGAGAGACAAGCCCTGATTCTTTTATTTCATTTTTGTTTTTGTAAGTTTAAAATAATTATTTTGTTAAATTGCAATAAAAGTTTAATTCATTTAAACTCTTGTAAATTAATTTGTATAATTTTCATGTTAGCTTCACTTTTGTATGACTGGAGGTAAAAGCAGTAAGTTGTTAATTTACGGTGATGTACGTCTTTTACAAATATATGGCAGAAGTATTAAAAATTTTATGTCTTCCTTTCTCAAGCAGAATTTAAAAACTGACCTGTAACAAGCTGGAAAAACGGGCATTAAGTGATTGTAGTAAAGCAAAAGGAAAATAACAGGGATTTATCCTAAGTGATCTTAAATGATCCTAAAGTGATCATTCTTTGGCACGAAATATTAAAGGATATATCCAGTTGTGTTATATACAAACTATGCAAAAATTCAGGTCTTTTACATGCACACTATAAGACACTTCATTAAAACTTTTATGACAGTATTTCAAGTTGGTATTTAATCTCTTATTACGTACGTTCCGGCACTTTTAAGCGTTATTGTTCTAACCAGTAGTTGTTAGTAGTTTAAAATCACTAATGACATGTAATTTGCATGTGTATGAAATAGCATATACACATCTTTATATAATGTAACCTATTGCGTCATGATATTGAGCCTGATAAAAAACTGCTTCACAGCCCATATTTCTTTACTTAAGAAGTTTGTAAAAGCCCATGTCTAATAACCAATTTACATAACATAGTTGAACTTAAACAATGAATTACGGAAATCATTAAGGATAATGCCAAAAAATACGTGGCGAAACATCGAATATTTATTGAAATATTTTTCGTTCCGGAAGGAAACACACAGTAAAATGCCTTCGAACATCTGCTTGTGTCACAGAACTTTTGAGCTACTGAATAATTTGAAATATAATACAATTTGATGAGTTCTTTAGACATTTTACTATTCATCATTGAAGTAATTTGAATGATTTATGAGGACAGTATATTTTAACACATGCTTTTCTCGCAAATCAATCTTGCGTGCAGTTTTATTACGAAAAGAACTCTTGAGCCTCAGCCCGTTTATCGATGCTTTGACGTACATCCTCGTGTGCTTTACTTTACATCATTAAACAAATAATTCTTTTATCTTTCTGATAACATAAGCTTATTTATTTGAACGACTGCTCTTATAGGAATGTCATTAAAATACTCTCACTATTCTTAGGTTATTGCCGTTTTCTGAAATTTATATGAGAAAAATATTTTCCATTTCTTTCTGTAATTTTAATGCATTAAAAATTACAGAAAGAAATGGAAAATATTAACACAAATTGAAATATAAATAAAGATTTAAATTTAGGCTAAACAACAATCTTTATTTCAGTGCAGATTATAAATAAATCTTTATCAATTTGGTAGGCGATGTGACGTAAGTCCCTCTTCTTCAGGGTGAAAAATGCAAAATAGGAGGAGCGACTTCAGTATTTATATTGAAAGCAATGGGCGAAACAAAGCGAACATGAACGTTATCCAAATAATAATGAAGCGTGAATAAAATAAGATATTAAAATTCTAAAAGCGTTTAGGAAGGATTAAATTAAAATCTGATTAATGTCATCAGCTAAAAAACATAATTTTTGTGAATGTTAAAAACTTAAAGGGACTTTAATGCAACATCTGAAGATGATTTAGGGATAATTTCTGTACAACAAAAAACAAAATTGTATTTGAGCTTCTAGCTATGATTACCTAGCGAAGATTTGATTATTTTTTTTGAACCTAAGATTCGCGCTCCTTAACGCGGACTTTTAATGCTCTTTTACTTTGGCAGATATATCTCGAACCACATTAACAAATATGCTATAAATTCACCAAAAATTAAAATCGCAGATGAAATCTTTAAGAATAGTACAACAATAAACTGAATTAAGAATCGAAAAACATTCATTACTAGCGCATTGATGATGAAAAGATTTGAGAAGATCTGTTATCTTGATATATAATACTAGTTAAAAAAGCACCATTAATTTATTATCTTTTTAATTCCAACGTATTTATGTCGTATTATTCTAAATATTTGGTTTTGGACAATATTAAAAGTTATAGATTCAAAGCTTAACTCTGTTATTTTTAACAGAATTACAAATCATTCACGGCTCCCAATCGGACATACGCACACAGTCTTGAAATTTAAAGTGATGTATTCGCTACGTGTTTCTTTGTCTCATTCCTGTATCATCATACACAGATTATTATTACCTATTTGCAACCAGGGTTGGATGAGGTAGGTACAGACGGCGCGACTAATTTGCATAAAGGAGCCGGGCCATAGACATCGCTCCCAAGATTCAGTTGTACACTTTGCCCCAAAAGAAATGGAACAGTTCTATATCTCACGTTCTACAGGGCCGTTTGATAAAATTTAATTTGCGTTTTTCATGCTTCGAAAGCGCGACTTAAAATATACTATTAGATTTATATATAGCATTGTTCAAACATGGGTATTTTGAAAAACAATTGAATTTTTTTTAATGACATACTTATGTTTTTCCATATTTCGACTATACGGGTCATATTGTCGCCCAGACGTTATAGTGGTTAGGCGAGCCTACTACTGTACCGAAGAACCTTTGTTCGAATCCTGGAGAAGACATGAATGTTTGTAAATGTAGAGTGTCTGTGGGGCATAGCGGCTTTCTAAATACGCTGCGAACCGAAAGTCCTCTCGTGTGGATTAGTGGAAGGGGAGTGGAAGGTGGGAGATCCCCGGATCCCCCCGCGGGTTGTTCTTCCTCAAAATTGGGGGTGGAAAATAAAAGTCCAATCTCTCTTTGGAGTAGGTCCCGGCAACCATTGATCCATGTAATATGGACAAGACAACAGCAACAACAACGGATCAAATTATGTCAAAGTGCTAAGTTTTGTAAAAGTCGCGAAGTAGTTTTTAAAAAATTAGCTTTCAAAATTTTAGCTCCTCAACATTCAATTGAACTTGGCATATATTTTTCAATCTCCCTTTTTCTATTAAACTTATTTGATCTCTTCTTTCACAGTTAAATATTTAGTTTATTTTCTGGTCACAGTTCGACCAAAAAAATGCGCAAATATTTTCCGATTTATTTTTTAAATTTGTATTTTTTTAGTTATTTTTATAAATTTTTTGAATTATTTTTTGACTTATAACCCATAAAACTTTTGACATCATCAAAAAGTAGATGCACTTCTAGGCATACCTGCAAAAAAATTGGAGATTTTTATTCAAAATTTCCCAAGATATACGTGAATTTATTATATTGGCACGTTTTGATATTTGGCATATTTGTTATAAGCTATAATGATGTTAATGCGGTTTATTTAATTTGTTAAAATTATTTGAAAGAATGAACGATGCATCTTTTTTCCGCTTATGCTCAATGAAAAAAGGAAAATAAGTTACTGTAAATGAATAATTTCGCCAGGTACATTAATTATTCTTGGCGCAAACTGAAAAATGCGCCAAGATAAATTTCTCGATTGTTTCTTACCACATTTTACAAAATTTAATATTTTGGCATAATTGGAGTCGTAGAATCGAATTATGTAAAAAGAATGGTATGTCATTTCAAAGAAAATCCGATTTTGGGTCATAATACCTACGTTATATATAAATACGTTATATATACGTTATATATACGTTATATATAGTGCTATATATAAATCTAATATATACCTTAAGTCGCGCTTTCAAAACATGAAAAACGCAAATTAGATTTCGTCAGTTGGCCCAGTAGAACGAGAGCTATAACAGCCCGCGTTTTTTGCGCAAAGTATAACTCGCGTTAGTAGTACTGCCATTTTTGTTCATTTATGAAGTTCAGTATCTTGAATAAAGTAACTCTTCTCAATGTTGCCGGGATTTAAAGAAAAACCTGCAACATTTTAAATTATCTATCAATGCCTATTTTCTTAGCGAATTTCCTTCCTCTTTCGATCAACTTCAAATACTGTGCCTAATTTTAACATTCAAACTGTTAAACGTACCTGAATAATATTTCTATTACAGGAATTTAAAAAAAAATAAATAAATAAATAAAGTACTTGTGTGTTCTTATTATTAATTTTAAAGTTGAAAATTTATTCTCCCGATTATTTTATGTGTTTCATGCTATATATATTATATAGAACGAAATTCGTTCCTTTGTATTCTAGGTAACAGATGTAGAGGTCTGCCATGTTCTGAATGTACAAACACTACTAATGGTCGTCAGTGCTATTGCGAAGATGGATACCAGCTGCATCACGATAACAAGTCCTGTGTAGGTAAGAACGAACGCAAGAGAGCTAAAACACCAGTACTCTTCAATGATGAGCAAAAATACGCTATTCACAACCAATTTAAACTGAAATATCTACCTGTGATTATACTTCAAAGGTACTTTCTCACAATACGCTGTTAAGAGAGTGTTTCAGTTTTACATGGATAGACATTAAATTAAATAAATGCAATAACTGTTTAAAAATGGAATAGGATGAATGACCATGAAGTACAGTGGATTCGGATAATCTAAGGAATAAGTGGAAACGTGCAAAATGGGTCCGCTACAGGCAAGATATAGGCCTACATTCAGATACCCTATGCTCTACGGTATCTGAATTGGATTCAGTTAGATTCAGAGTACGGTAGGACCATATCCTCAAAAGTACTTTCCTGACCTTTCTTTTCGCAACTATTGGTTGTAGATGTATAATTCCAAATACACAAATATTTTAAATGACCCAGATATTCATGTTTGCCATTTTAAAACTTGAAATTAATTTTACTAGAAAAACAAATAAAAACATTTGAAAGGTTTCATATTTTAATGCTCACTTAAAAGGGTTTGTTAAAGTCTTTTAAGCCTCAGAGGTAATCGCTGTCTACAAGTCTGTTATTATATTCACTCTCACCAACCCATTATTTTTGTCTGTTTAGTCTTATTATTCAGCATCATTTTCTTAGCACTTACGCCGTATACAAATCAACAGCAAAATTACAAAAATTTTAAATGCACTGTAGCAGTATACATTTAGAATTCTCGATGCAGCGTTAAGTGTTCGCATTACATATTTCTGTATTTTCAGTCTTTTTCTCGTTTCATATGAATGTTCAGTTTTCTTACTAAGATGGCTTTACAAAACTTTTTTTGCCTTTTTATTATTAACGTTTGGTGTGTTTACTTTATTTACTAAAAATTACGTTCTTGGCGCCTACGCCACATAAATTTGTCTCAGCAGCAAGCTCACGAAATATTTAATAACCGTAGAATTTCCGGTAGAGAGTCTTGTGCGTTGGAGATGAAAATGTTTTATTACGTACAGTGAGTGTTGCCACTGATCGCTCTGAAATCGTTGAGATGATAAAAAATAAGTTGTTTCCAAAATATAAAATTGAAAAAGCGAATTTAAAATTCGGGCTTTCAGGTGCCCATGTTCTGGTCGAGTACTACGTTATTCAAAATTTGATGGCTCTAGGTACCGTCGTTTTTCACAGCGAGAGAAACATGCATACATGCATGCAGATTCTTCATTATTTAATTTTTTTAATACAATACAGGGTGATAATATTTGGTGGTAACAATTTGAAAAGTGAAACGCCGTTTCTAATGATTCAACGCAAAATGCTGTTTCAAATGATTCAACGCAAAATGCCGTTTCAAGACTAATATTCCAATCGGGGCTAACGTTTCTTTTGGGATAATAATTCCTAAGTAAAATCTTTTATACTGTCACTCGGTTCTTATATTTATATTCAGGAAAATTTGATGCTCGTTATGAAAAAAGGAAAGAATCAATGAACCTAGAAAGCAATGAACGAAAACCAAACAAAATGCTTATTATTCATTATCAGACTGGCTGATTTTTTGACGGAAACTGAAGTTTAGGTTTTGGTTTATTTTGATTATGCTAAAGCACGCGAGGGCTATATAGTACTTCAAGGAGGGATACCTTCATGGATGGCATCCTGAGGGAAACTGGCTCGTATCTACGTTACACATGGGGGAAAACTACGTTAAATGCCCAAGTAGACAGCTTGTTCGCCTGAAACTAAAACCAGTCAAACTACTAGTGTTCAGTGACTGGACCGCTCGGCCGCTGGTGCGCTGTAGTTTAGGAATTAATACATTTTCTTGTCGTGTATATCTACGAATGAGAAATTTTTATACTATATTTACATATTACTAATTTTGTACTATATTTATATCTATATATTTACATTACAAAATGTATAAAAATGGAACGAAACAAGGTATAAGTAAATGAACAGATGGCATGAGGGTTTTGAGAACCTAAGCAATGTAACGGACTACTTAGAAAAAAATTCGCAAAATAAAACATCCTTTAAGATGAGCCTCAAGAATGTGCCGGAAGCATTATCCTCAGAAATATAGTGCTACCACGCAAAATATAGCTCAGCAAAGCCTGCTACACATGGCGTTACGACTGGTTTCGAATCTCGGATAATGTGTACATGTTTCTAGATAGGTATAATTTGAGAACTGTACGGGATGCTCATCAGGGTAGTACTGGTGTCCTTCGTGTTCATACTTGTAACTGTGAATGTAGAGTCTTTGTTGAACTGGAACATTTGAAATCTATTAGTTGTAAATTTTAAGAATTGCTGATGTAAAACGATGTTTATAAGATTCTTCGATTTCCTGTTATATGGGATATTGTTTGTCAAAAATTTGAATGAACGTTAGCAAATAGCACTGCAGCGCTTTGCCATATTCTGCTTTGCCATATTTAAAACGATAAAAACATCGTTTTAAATCTGAAGTTTGGTAAACTATGGACAATAACGCATTCTAGAACTTAAGAGAAATTTAAACGTTGTCGAAATTTATTTTGTAATTTTATTTCTTAATCATTTTATATTTATTATTCATTCTGTCATAGATGTCAACGAATGTGCTGAAGAAGGATTCTGCAGCCATCGGTGCATCAATATCCCGGGAGGTTACATATGCATCTGCAAGGAAGGCTACGAGCTGGTGAACAGATCTTGCATAGCAACAGGTAAATTCTCAGAAAAAAAAATCAATAAATTTACACTGTTTTCATATTTTGCAACATGCCAGACGTCTAATTCATATTTCGATTTTGAAATCTTTGACTGGATAGTCTATCGGAAATAAGAAGTGCATACACAAAAGAACTACTGTCCCATACATTGTTCACTACTCTATTTCTTGCTGGAGTTCGGTTACATATCAGTAAAGGAAGTTCTTATTACCCCAAAAATTATGAAGGTTTTGAATTCTTCGCAGTGTGTTTCACAGAAAGGTTACAATCTTAATTTTCATCTCAGATTAAAGTAACAAACCCATTTCATATCTCAAAAACTAGCTAGTAAACTTAAAATATGGCCCAAGGATACTTAACGCTATGACAAATCAGTACAACAGTTTATTTAATACATAAAAATAAGTTTGCATACAATGCAGATTTAGGAAACGGTAGCCAAACTATTATCTAGCATAACTTACAAGAGAAATGGCCAAACTAGCAAATAATCATCCCAGACAGTTATCAAGCTCTGTCAATGAGCTTACAGACTGCTATTAGAAGTCATTAAGAAGATTTGGCATATTCAAGTGGCCCCTCTAAAATCTCCCCCATCTATACTCTAGCAGTAAAACTCCAAAGCAATAGGCTAGGTAACTATTTGGTCAATTATTTTCCCTTAAAATTGAATCTTCTGACCAGCTCAGCTCAGTGTATATTCATTTAACTGCCCATGAAAATGAACTAGGTTTGCAAATGAACCATGTTTGAAAATATATCCCTAATGTTTCATATACAGGGCGATGATTGAAATATCATATCATATTCAGTCACCTTATATATGGTGTGATTTAATATCTATTTTTATAAGATTTTAATGTTTGTTGAATGTTACAAACGTATATTCAGATACATTTGTTCATGAAAAATGCAGTAGATGTCAGGAAAACTCAGTATCACACTTTAATTTGCCGCGAAATAGCAGTTTACGAGATGACAGATAACGACCATTTGAGACTCGAACACATTTTGAAAGAAAGATGTAATGTTTTTCGAAGAAACGAAGGATTTGGTTGTGACCCAAAGACGTCTTCGAGCCGTTGGTATAAGATGGGCTCCTTGAAAACAGTTTATTTACAGATTGTGTCAGCAGTTAGAGACTACTGGCTTTATATCGGAAAAGAATGGACGGTGCCTTCCTACACGCTGCAAGTTTCATTCTTAACTTCTTGTGTAAGATGTTCAGTGCGCGTATAATATGGCATCCCTTTCCTGAACATTACGAAGCTGGAAGACAGTGCTTCGTGTAGCCCGAATCCATGTGACTCCTTTCTGTGGAATCTTTTAAAAGATATGGTAAGCAAGAAAACCTACAAATGTAGCGCAGCTCAAGTCACTTTTGTGCACTGCAGTTTTATAAGACGTGTGCCTGAAAGTTGTGACAAGTACAAAGCCTCGCTTGCAAGAGGTTGTGAAACAAATTAGTGGACACATTGAACACAATTTAGCCGAAATTCACTTTCTATGCTCAAACATTTACCTATGGATTCATTTTGTAATATTTCGATAATAAATAAATTCGTAATAAATAAAACAAAGGATATGATATTTCGTGTATCGCATTGAATAAGATAAGTTTCAGTTCTATAGAGCTGCTCTATCGCGCTGTTTTACTGTATAAGTGCACAGTTTACAGCCCTCCAACGTACTTCTTCACTCAATAAAGGTGTTGGTTTATGGACCAGAAATGATGACTACACCACAAAAGGCAGTCTTTCTTGTAAGAAGGAGTGCGGGACATGCCTGTTATGGTTTTAGCCTTAAAAACGTCTTCACTATTAGCCGTCTGAAACCAATTTACCGATCTTGTAGAGAAAGGCTATCTTTCTGTCACTTACCTATGATATTTCACATTTCCTTTCGCCTTTACGGATTTCTTTACTTTGACTTTGAAAAGTTGTGTCGGTAATTCGCCAAATCTTAACTTTATTTCAGGACCAGAACCTCTGTTGCTGCTCTCGACGTTCGAAGAAATTCGTGGGATACATTTAAGATCTGGTCGACATTTCTTGATTCACAAAACTATTCACAAATCCGTTGCTATAGATGCTGATCCTTTGGAATCTAAAGTATATTGGGGCGAAATATCCAAAACCTCCTCTATATATTCAACAAATATTGATGGTACGGGATTTAATATAGTTCTGGGAAATGGTAAGTATCCTAGTTTGTCCAGTTATATTCTTAGGCCTTTTCCTCTCATGTAGAATGTCTAATACGAACTCATCATTTAAAAAAGGTCTCCTCACTCCCGAAGGAATAGCTATAGATTATCGAGCAAGGAACTTATATGTCACAGACTCTGGACTGAAGCAAGTTCTTGCATGCAAAACTGATGGCACCATGTGCCATGTATTGCATGATACTAATTTGGAGAAACCTCAAGCAGTTGCTGTGGATCCTCCTGAAGGGTATATCATTATGAAAGATTATACTGGATATTTCAGCTGTAATTTCTAATTGTAATACGTTAAAAATAAATTTGATATAACATTTTCTTTGATTTATAGATTCATGTATTGGAGTGACTGGGGTGATAATATGTCGGGCATTTTCCGCAGTGGCATGGATGGATCGGAAATTATTCATATGGTTTCAAAAGCAATTCATTGGGCCAAAGACATAGCTATTGATCACACCACAGATCGGCTCTATTGGACAGATGCTCGTCTGCAAACTATTGAGTTCATCACTCTAGATGGAGTTACGCGAAAGGTAAGAGTTTAATGTATTGAATTTCAGTCTTGAAAGTAATCTTTGAACTGTTGTATTTCATTAAAATTTGTAATCGGGGATGCTTCTTCGATTGTAGGATGATGCATTGCTAATGATTAATGTATTTTTATGTTAAAGTGGCTTTTTCTTTTATGCTGAATCAGCGTATTTGGAGCTTGGATGTATTACTGATGTGTACCCAAGGACCAAGAAAGGAAATGTACTGCGAATATTCCCGCATTTAGTTTTCATCAGCATATACACATCTTAAATACACTACCATCTTAAAAAAAAAAATTCAAACATCAGGTATTTTCTGCTTCACCAGTAGCCGAGTAGTTACGACATTTAATAGTTCGACCTGAGTTTTAATCCTGGCCGAACAAGCTGACCGTATGGTTGATTTTCGTGGTTTTCCCCACGTGTAATTTGAATATGAGCCAGTTTCCTTTAGAAAGTTCTCCATGAAGTTATCCTTAGCCTTAGATGGATAGACCACTTAAGCTTTGCCGTATTCGAATAACTTTAACCAATCATAATCATTTTTTAGTCTAATGATGAAAAACGTCAAGCTCGATCGATTACAGCAAAACAGGCAAATAATATCTGCCTAAGAGAATGAATGCACTTGTAGAAATCTTTCTAGGGGCTATTAGCTCGTATTCACGGTATACTCGGAGAAAACTTTGAAAATTCGATAAAGCTTTCCGGCTTGGGATTCAGGCCTGGTCGAAACACATACTAATACTCAGTACTCCTGATACCTGGTTAACTTAAACAATGTCTCATGAGCTGCCGAAAAGATAAGTCTTTCTTAAGTACTAAATGGATTGGTTCTATTAGCTTTCCTTTGTCTTTCTAGTGAATCTGAAACAGTTTTGCTTATAAAGCCCACAACGAAAACTTCTTTCCAAGCACAGATCCCAACAGAGGCTGCTGAACACTGGTAATTCGAACCTTGCAAAAAGGCTCGCCGAGTGGGAGTTTTTGTGGTTTTTCCTAATGTGTAACATAAATAAAGCCAGTTTCCCCTCAAAAGATTCTCTTTGAACATATCTATAACTCTAGTTATATAGCCTTCGCATGCTTTGTTGCGATTCAGTCTTAAGACAATAAATAGGTCTAGCATGCGATATTATAATCGTTTAACACTCCAACCTAATTTACCATATGATTATCAAAAAACAGACTTTATGTTGGAAAACTATTTTAGATACGCAACCAGCCAACCACTCTTTAGAAAATTCTCCTTAGAATTATGTTAGTTCTAGAAAACTACAGGCTAAACAATCTTCTCTAGAAAGAGCTATGCATCAGTTGGATACTTTCAGTGAAGAAATATACTTTCAACACATAATTTAAGCCACCTTATTTTGACTGGAATAAAACTTTTCTAAATTTAAGAAATATATCCCTTAGGTTTATGATTTCAATAATAGGCAATTTTAAAAAAGGCAATTTTTAAAAGATTTTTGTTGACCTTGATAATTAAGCTCAACCACAACCCGAATTTTCAGAATGGCATTCGGTATCTGGCAACCATGTAACGCAAAAATTATTTACTTTTAAAAAGCAGCGTGGTATTTTTGTGTGTGAATTTTTTACTCTATTCCGTGTTTCAACGGTTTTTATACACAAATCTGTATATTTTTTACTTAAATTCAATTTCAAAATTTACGTGCTTGGGGAATTTATCTGCTGCTAACGAAATTACAGTTAGACTTCTGTAAGAGTACAGTAGTTTGCGCAAAATCGCTTAAGCTTTTAAATTTATTCTCAAAGCCATCGCTAGGAAATTTTTAGCAGAACAAAAGGAAGCCAAACCGCTTGTAAATAGTTTTATTGATCTAACGATTTTGAAATTCCACCTACTCAGGATGTCGAACGTCCAGCTCTAATAAGGAAATTATAAGGGTCGTTCAAATGAAAGTGGCTTTTCTGCAATAACTCCACCACTTTAAGAGAAGGACAACTGCGCAGGCACCTATAGAGGACGCTGAGTGCTGGGATTGCATGGAATATCGTCTAGCCCTAGCCTGGCTTATGCTTCACTGATGCGCAGTGACAAGCTTCGTTGGCGTTATTGGCTGGCGTCTGTTATACAGAATTGGCGATGTATCATGAGATTGGCAACTAAAATGTTGTTATTCCATTAAATTTTGTTACGTTGCAGAACTTAAGCACCACTAAAGTAAGATAATGCAGTCAAGAATATGAAAAGAAAGGACCAAAGCATGTTATTTTTCTGAATGCCTGATAAAAGATGAACTTTTATGATAACTGTAAATATGAAATAAAAAACAAATTTGTAAAATGAGGTTAAATTAATCTCTTACGTTAAGCTCTCAAGAATTATTTGCCTAGGATGAGACATGCCTTTGTGAAAAGCATGAATTTGGAAAGAAATTTTATGATAACAGTAAATATAAGATGAAATATCAAACAAAAATACATTTGGGAATAAATGTAAAATACGGTTAATTGATTATTCCACATTACAAAAACCTATAGCTTTAATTTAAGCAGTTCATAAACATCAACACGAGTGAAAAAAGGATAAGTCTATTTCCCCATACGCTTTTTCAAGTCCCCGGTAAATAAAATTTCGCATATTTAGGCACACAGCTCACTCCATATGCTTTTTTGTCCCCAGTAAATTATTGCTCGCATAACTGGGCACAAGGTGAACACATTTTACACATTCCGCAGCACTTCACTTACGCATCCCTGAAGTCTGAAGTGTGAATTCATCGCCAAGTCAAACATACAAAGATGTTCTTTGGTCAAGCAACGACATTTACCACACAATATTCCTATTACGTATGCGTGAAGCATAAACCATGCTAGGGTTAGATTCTACTAATATCGTTAGTTCCCGCCAAATGCGTGTGTGATAGCGTGGAGCACGTTAAGAGGCATCGTTCGCATCATGGATGCCTCCAAACGGTGTCAAAGATGTCAAAGATTTGGTCAAGCGCATGTGGTGATCACCCAGGAAGCAGTATTTGTGCACACTTCCTATGCTCATAAACATTTCCTCAGTTATTTCTAGAGTGGTGATTGGCCGATTCATTTTCACGAGACTATCCACATCTGCAGTTGCTTCCTGGGTGATCACCACATGTGCTTGACCAGATTGTGGCCTGTGGTTAGTACTGCCTCTTACACTAGGAAACTCTTTACACCATTGGAATGCCGATCTGCGTTTCATACACTCCATGCCATACACAGTTTGCATTCGACGATAGATTTCAGAAGCACTCGCATTTCCCGCTGTTAAAAATTGCACGACCGCGCGTTGACACCTTTTGGAGGCATCCTTGATGCGAACGATGCCTCTTAACGTGCTCCACGCAATCACACACGCATTTGTTGGGCTCTGACGATATCCCATTCAATCCTAGCTCTAAGCTCCCTCTACAGGTGCATGCACAGTCATCTTTCTCTTCAAATGGCGGAGTTATTACAGCAATGTCACTTTCATTTGAACGACCCTTATATTTTGGGAATGGGAAATTTTGATGTCTGGTTTTACTCATTTGACTGACGAAGCAGAGCTAAATAACAAGGTTGGATACTCGCTTTGAGGATTTTAAGGCACTAGCTTAAGACTCTATAGAAATAGTGATATTTCAGCCTGAAGTTATTGCACTCTGTGCGGTACTAGATTGGTTTAGTACTGATGAATGCAATAAAGTAGTACAAATTAATTTTGATAGCCAAGATATAGGGGACAAAGCGGCCAATAACATAGCGTCATCTGCTGAGGAAAATAGCTTCCTTTAGAAAGTTCTCCAGGAAGACATCCTTCTCCATAGGCAGATCTCTCGAGCTATTTTTCCTCAACCGATTAATCTATTATAACGAAGGAAAATTGTAATGAAACATTAAAAATAAAGACATTAAAATTATTCTTTGAAGCGTTAGGAAATACTGGATTGGAATAAGCACTTAGTAAGGAAGAAAATTTTTTGTGAACATGAAAAGCTTCAAGGAAATCCAATTCACCAAACATGAAGATTTATAGATCATTTTTGCAGAACCACAGTCAAAATTACGATTGAATTTCTATCTATGGTTACATATCGAATATTTGTTTATTTCCCCTTTACGAACATTAGATTCGTGTTTTTTGGCCGAAAACATTTGAACACTCTTTCAGTTTGGCTGATATATCAAAAATAAATTTGCCACAATATCATAAAACACGTGACAAGATATGTTATAAATTTCCCAAGAATTAAGGTCAGTGATGGAATCTTTAAGAGTCAAACATCAAATTTTACTAATAAGAAAAGAAACAGAATCAGAACTTTTGGAGAATTCGTGCAATTTTATAGCTGTAGAAGGATGAAATAGAATAATGAACAAGGTTATTAATGTTATTGCTCACAGCAGTATATCTTCTTTGTTGGCCAGACGAAAACTAAACCCAACCCACACACAATGAGATTTTTGGAAAATTTCGCGATATTACAGAATGCTTTTCTGCTGTTGTTCTCAAACTATCATAGTATCGGACTAAAGATTGAGTTCAATTGCTGCAAAATGGCTCAGAAAATGCTTGGTGTGGCTTTAAGGAAAAAATAATGAAATCAACAGAAATCTCACACGGCAGAATAATGTAACTTATCTTGGTTCTTGTTACTATCTTTCACATTTACCGAAATTATCTTTTTTATTCTTGTGATGTTTATGGCTTAAAAAAGTTAAAAAAAAAGTTTTTACCTCAAAATATTGGTACTGCTAACAAACTTCTGTTTATTTTTAAGATTCTCATAAGGAATGAGGTGTACCATCCATATTCACTTGCTGTATTTGAAGATAGTTTATACTGGACAGACTGGGATAGGTTTTCCTTAAATACGTGTAATAAATTCACTGGACGTAAAATGACTACGATAGCCATGGAAAATGGCAAGAATGTCGTGGGTGTGCACGTCTATCATCCTGTTCTTCTCCGCCTAAGTAAGTAATTTTCTTATTTTATAGTGTTTGAATTTTATTTGGTTTGTAAGTTGCGAAAATTGTTAATACTAAAATCAAAAAATTATTTATTTTTGTGAATTTTAGAGTTAAGAAAATTCTTCATATATTGACGTTAGTCTCATGGGAAAATGTGACTTTTTGAATTTCAGTAGATCACCTGGAAGGGAAAACTATTCTGTTCTTTTTTTCGGAGATACGTATTTAAATAGCAAATTAAACAATAGGTAAATAATAAAGAGACAAGCTTCAAACTTCTTTTTGTCCAGCAAATTTAATAAGAAATGAATAAAAAGTAATTTTTCAATTCTATCTTTTTACTTTTATTTTTATTAATTAGGCACTAATCTTTCGAAAATGGTACTAGAATTATTACTCCTCTTTTATTTCTTATTTATTTTGCATTAAACTGCGTAGTTCTAGAGAATTTGGTAAGAACGTTTTCTGCTCCTTAGGGGGGGAGATACATGTCAGTCTCTTTCGAAACACAAAATATTTTCTTTTAAATTAACATCTAGTCTACTACCGAATTTCACCAGTTTTTAATTTCAAATCCGCAAGATTCTCTTCGCTTATTCTTAAATGGATATCTATATTTAACTATAATCATGCATAAATATTTATGTTCATCTCTAAGATGTTAGAATAACAACTAAGCAAAACATTAGTTTCAAAATTACAAACTGAGGTATGGAATCTCTGTAATATATTAGCTTCTGAATGCTGATAATCTAATTTCATATTTATGATAAACGGACTCTCTGCATAGGGGTATTGTGAATTTTTTGCATGTCTAACATTAACAGTCACTCTCCTTTAGAAAGTTCTTCACAAAGGCTGTATAGATGATATGTACTTTACCGTTTTCAAGTAATTTAATCTGACGACATTTAACCCGAGACTTTTCATTTTTCAGGTCATAACCCTTGTCACTCTGCTACTTGCAGCCATATGTGCCTGACAGCTCCTTTCGGAAGCTATCGGTGTGTATGTTCTCCGGGATTTATTCTTTCTGGAGATCACAAAACGTGCAAAAGTTAGTATTAGAAATATTGCGCATTTATTTTACTTCTGTCCTCATTTTTTGAACTAATGATATTTAAGCATTTCGAACCCAGCTACCGAAGAGTTTGAATAAACTGTGGTTCAGTTAGAGGTGATTGTACTTCCTCTGTATTAGCAACAAAGAAATTAAGTTCAATCTAAGTCAGTTTTCTGTTGTTCATGCTGAAAAACACGAGTAATGTACCTATATCCCGCTCAAAAATTTCACTAATACACATGTGTCCCATAAATTATATCTGTCTAAATATTGGGTGGCAGATATTTAACTTTAACAATGATAGAAAGACAGACAGAGCTTGCAGTATCTTTGTGACTGTGAAATAACAGTATACATAGGTATTTGCTTCTGGGTATATAATACGGACGGACACTAATGAACCTTAAAAATGTACCTTTCTGAATGACACTAATGAACCTTTCTGTTAAAACCAAATTGCAATTTCCAAATGTCTTGCCCCCAATTCTTCCGGTCTTTCTGTTCCGCCACAATACTCAATGAACGTTAGCAGCCAAGCCACATTCTTATGAAATATCTGAAGGTGGCTGCCGCATCAGTCAAAAGCCTGTGGTATAAAAATTTTATGATTCCTAGCTCTCCACGGTACGTCGCGCGTGAACACGTGAAAGCCAGGGTTGCCAAATGAAATAGGAATAGTTCCAATATGCGACACGTAATTGATATTTTATGCATAAACATGCATAATACCAAAGCACCAACTTCATAAATATGTAATCCTCTCAATGCGTACTCTTTTTGTATTCTCGTACTGTATTTAGTACTCCGTTAGCATTTAAAATTAGGGTTTTTAATTAATTTAATTACTATGCTTATTTACACAACCAATTCCCTGTACTCTGTCAACTTATCTTTCTGTGCACAAGTACCATGAGCTCACGAATGAAATGTAACCTTATGTAACTATTGTCCTATTCTGCAAAATGTAACCTCTTAATAGTATCCAACAAAAACCCAAAGCCTGGCACTGATCTGCCCATGGGGTGCAGATCTCTAGTTGGTATATGCGGGCTATACCATTTTTGTTAGTGACGATGCCGCGGTGTCCCATATACTTGCTACTGTAACTGCAACTGCAGTAGCAGTTTTGTGTTTATTTCAATAGATCATCTGATTACAGCAAATGAAAACATTTTCTTTTAAGAATAGAAAAAATAGTGTTCACTTTCTTTTATAATGCAATAACTGTGGAACTATATGAATTAGTGAAAATATAGGTTATGGTAATCCAGAGGGCAAGATTAAGGTGGCATCAACATCTCATTTGGACTGTGTCAGTTTAGAGCAGCATCCTGTTCCCGAACGAGTCCATATTTGTCTTGAAAATTTACAAATATGGACTGGAGGGAATGAGGTGTACCGAATCAGACCCAGAACAATAGCGAACAATATCAAGAATTCAGAAGTAGCGGCATCACAGCGGGGGTTGGAATTTCAATAGAGTATCGCACACAGCTGCGCATCTTTAAAGACGGTTGCGTCAAGCAAGAAGAGAAGGTATTCGAACTTGTTGTTCGTCCGCTGCGGACAGATCTTAAAGAGCACCCACTTTCGTATGTTATATGCCTCTGAAGTCAAAACTGTCCGAGTACAGATGTCGACCAGTAGAATAAACGAACCGGGAGGAGGTCAAGAAAACCTATCCCACTTCTCGACGACAATTGGCATCAAACTTTCAAAGATGATTTACGATTTTCAAAGATGAACAAAACAAAAGGTGCAGAATGTGGCATTTCGCAGTCATTCCAAAGGATTATAAGGCGGAGCACTCACCTTTAATATTTGTAGCCATTAAATCGTCACATGTAATGTATCTATGATGTTTTAGGCAGTCTGTTACCAATGAGTCCCAAGTAATGCACTTTCTAGAATTCGGTGTGAATATTGCTAATTCCAACGCACATTTAATATATAAGAAAAATAAATAAAAGTAAATACGAAAAGATGAACGAAGCATGTTGGCTGAAAATCTTATCTAGGTTTATTATTCTAAGAAGTAAGACAACTAGAGATTTAAAATTGAAATATCCACTTTGTTTACTACAGTCATAACCACTCTAACGTTAAAAGCTGCCTTTCGGCATGCTGGTTTCTGAACTTAACAGCCAAGTTCAGCTTTTTTTAATACATGAAACATCTTTCGGCTGGTTCCGACGTTTCAACTTGTACGTCATCTCCTCGTCTTACCTAGTATGGTACTTAGTAGAGCGTAGTGAAATATCAAGTAATTACTTTTAAAGAAAACTTTAAATTCATGTACAAGAAAAAAATCATTAAAGGTTTTTCTTTCCAAAAAACTACCTTAATAATGTCTTCATTTCAGTGGACAACAAATTTCCAGCTCTTTTCGCATATGATGATTCTAAGATCTTCCACGTTCGTCCAGAAGGAGTAGGTAGAAGTATTGTCACGGTACTGCCCATCAATCATCTAACCTTCATCCATAAAGTGGTCCATGACTGGAAGACAAATTCTCTTTTTGTCAGTCATACAAGCCCATCAGCCATTTATGCCGTTAATATGACTTCTTGGAGGATAAGGTAATATTTTTGTGAACCTTTATGTTTATTAACCCATTACCTTACTATTTTTAATGTACGGTCGTCGGCTTCCAGCAGGTGGAAAATAAGTTAAACGTGTCTAAGAACAGAATTCTTGAAGTTTAGAGAGAGCTTTTGATAGCGACGACTGACCTCAGAACTTTATTTTTGCCCTGCTTATAGGTTTACCTGAATCAGCTTTAGTCTTTTGCCTTGTTTGCTCGCGCGATTAGAGAGCCCGAGCCTACTGTAGCTAAAGCCTACTGTAGGACTTTGACAGGTGGATTGTGTACTTTAATATTTTCAGGTTAACGTTTATGCACCGTTAAATCCCACAAGGTGTGAATCCTTCTATTAATTGCACGAAGCAGTGTAAGTTGTTTAGTTGAAATTCTAATAAAAAGGTCTCTTTTAAAGGCCTACTGAATTCATAGCTATTATTTTTCTAGAAATCAGAACGATAAGTTACCTGACTTTCTACACGGAGCTAGAATTTAACACTGGAGATCATTGATCATTTAATTCATATATTATGTACAAGTTACAATAAATCAAAATTTAAAGGCAGCTTTATATAAAAAATTTAACATCTTGACTACTCTCACTTAGATTATGTAAGTTTTAAAAAATTATTCGCATTTAGAAAATAAGCCAAAATATAAATAAACTCATAATTTCTCAAACAAATTTGAGAGGGGTTTTTAACTAATTTAAAAGAAAAAAACAGATATTACTATAACTTGCAGTTGATCAGCTGTAAGTACAGTGCCAGTTGAATTTATTTAAAATAACAAACAGTGATTTAATAAGATCATCCTATTTGAATTTTACTCCTCAAATCAATTTCTAAATGAAGTAATTTGAATAGACACCCAGTAATCATATAATGATTTGCGGTGATTATTGATCTCTGGCTCAGCAGCTCATCCTGTCAGATTGCACCAGAATTTAGTTCAATAAAATGAGTTATTTTCGTTTCAGTGAGTCAGTCAATCATTTTCATTTTTTGATTTTAGTAGTTTGTACTGAAATGTTATATTATACTATTTTTTGGAGAGGAACTGTATAAAAAAGTGATAGAGAAGAAATCTTGGTAGCATTATCGTTAACAAATTAATTACTCATTAGTTTAGCTTTATTATTAACTTATCTCGAACATAAACCTTGAACACGTTTTTGTTATTGCAGCTAGTATTTTGATCTGTATAGCACAAAGCAGCAAAATATCCCTTTCACTATATGCTAAACATAAGTCAGTACTTCAACAGATGATACTAAATAAGTAAATAATAAAATGTTAGCGCACTATGTAAAACTTTTTATCAATATTCCTGAGGTCTATTACTTCCGAATGCGTATAATACTATGCAAACCATATAGATGCAACAGTACTTAATTTCAAACATTTTTAACAAAAGATTTATTTACGAAGTAAACTACAATATCCAGATATCATTTACCAATTTTAATTAGTACTTTTAATACTAACTCATTGAATATACACATCACTCTGCAAGGCGGTCTTAAGACATTGTGACCGTTTCATATTAATTTAAATATTTTTCCTGGTAGTGGTGTTATCTATGTCTAGTATTCGATAGATGACGAAACCATTTATCGAATGGTATAAAATGGTTGACATGTTATGATGTAATCTGAAAGTTTATTTCTCGAAAATACATTTGGTAAGAGTTATACCTATTAATTCATAGAGAAAGATGTTTTGTGACTGTGTTTTGCGTAAAAGTACTTGTGAGGCATAAATGTGCTTTATGCAGTAAGTGTAGAAAATGCTATGAAGCCCAACGTATGTCTCAGTATTACACATGATTAAACTTCCTATGAACATAATACTGTTACGAATTTGGTATTTAAAAAGTTAATGTTAGTTCAATTATAAATTAAATGGTTTTATTTCTCGCGCAGTTCAGCGCGTGACGAATGTTAAAAGAAAGCTAAGCCGGAAAATTAAAAATACAACAGCGCGTGCATTAAATAAATAAATATCTCTTTTTGATTTCGAGAAAGTGCTGGAAAATTCTAGCGCGTGATTTTAAAATCTTATAAAAGGAGGAAAACATCTCAGTTTGTAGTAGTTGCTTAGTTTGTTGTTGTTTACAAAACTGCTCTTGTTGATTGTAGCGAATTCGCGGTTTAGCGTTCTTTAGTTGTTTTGAATTACGTTCTATTGGACATTTGAGTAGTTAAAAGATAACTACTGTGAGATATTGTAATACTGCATGATAATTTGAGAAAATTTAAGCATTTTTGTTGTGATAATAATAAATTTTTGTTAATTTTTCATCGCACTTGCGCATTCATTTCATAACGAACCCGTACGCACGCAACAATACTATAACCATCTTTTTCCAAATCGCACTACAGAGGCCTGTATATCATTGTAAGACGACAGATAATATTACTTCAAAAAATTTATCTTCTATGAGTCTATCTTCAGATGACAAAAGTAGTTTGAGTTTATAAAACGTAATCTACACAGGAATGTTTGCAATGAAAAATTAGTATGTAATCCGGTAATTACATAAGATTTTTTTTCCCTTCGTGTTATGTCAAAATCATTTTGCTTTAGCAGAATTTAGAGTTATGATTCTCTCAGCCATATTTTCCAAACGATGTAGGAAAAACGCTGCGAAAATTCTTGGTTACATTCAGAAGAATATTATTAATTTATGGTTATTTTCTCACAAGTTTACGATTAACTGAACTGTCGGTTGTGGACAGTTCGGTTGTGGACGGGAAGTTTAATTTTTTCTGTTTCCTGTTCCTGAAAGTTTCCTGTTTATGATGTATCAATATTTCCACTTTCCAGCATCATTATATGTAAATATTTCTACATGATTACAGCTAGTCGACAGGATATCGTTTATCTTGGAAGTAAAGTTCAGCTGTGTAGGATGCACACTGACTTAAAGTGCAATTTATGCACAAAACGCAATATTTGTACATCTAACGCCATCAAATATTCCTACATTATTACATCCAAGTCTGCTTCTACACCGTGTTCACCAAAGTCAATATCCGATCTTTTTTTCGCAACAGTTGGTAACTGGCAACTTCTATTTTCACCTACAAACATGTTATAATAACGCAAATATTCATGTTTTGGTATTTTCAAATTTAAAATAATAATTTTAGTAAAACTACAAAATTTAAATTTTATACGTTGATTAGGTAAATTTATTTATAGAGCTTTATACTCATTATAAAAAAAAATAAAATGCAAAACGTGTAACTCCCATAATACAAAAATTAACCAAGATATTTCATTTTATAATTCAATATCCTCAGAATCTTAAAGAATTTGCGTTCTGTTCGTTATCTGCCTCTATAGAATCATGCTAGAGTTTTATATTATATGCATAAATTGAAAAGATTTCTAGTTTAATGAGATATAATTATTATAATAATTTCAGTATAATTATTAGATAAAAATTATTAAATATTTTCTATATATTATTAAATAATAATTTTTAATTTCTGTATGATTTTTAGAAAATTATTACATGATAATTTTATTAGATATTAAAAATATTAGTAATTAGATAATAAGTAATAAATGTTCATGAGAATATTGATAACATATTTTTAGCTTTTGAAAACATATAAATTATTTGTGTGAAAATTCTTTTGGCATACCAGTTATAACAAAATGAATCAAAGAATGTACGACACTAGTAAATTGCAAGATATTATTGAATGGTATTTAATGGAGGAAATGAACCTAGAATTCTGGTTATTAACCTAATTTATTAATCTACAGCTCAGATAAGTTGAAAATGAGGTCAAATATCTAAAATTTTGGACTTAAATATCATTTAGTTTAGTTTTTTTTTTTTTTTTTTTTTTGTTCGTACGAAATTTTAACTTAGTACATACGGCAATAATTATTTTGGTTTATAATATGGATAAAATTTCACTAAATAAAAGTAAGGAATCGATGGAACAGATAATAAGTTAGATTTCGCAGTTTTAATTAAACTGATTATTTTAAATTTAAAAATGCCCAGATTTGAATATTGGCAGCATTTAAAACGCTTTCTTGCAACTAGATGTGTATGTTTAAGACGAAAGTTTTTTGTGGAAACTGTGTACTTATTTAAGAAAAAAGTTATGTAAAAAAGTATTAAATTTAATTTAAAACAGCCCCTTAACTCTTCTTTTTAATTTAGTTATTTCAGTTTTCTATCCTGAAAATATAATAACATGCTTATAAAAAATCCCTTAAAATGCCATCATTAATGTAATGAAATAATTTTTTCCTTGACATAGATGAACGATGAAAGCCGATTCATAAACAATTAACTGCAGTCGTTGTCAGTTTAATATATCCTTTATAAAAACTACTTTTTTATACATTCAGAGATAATTTAATGACGTCTACACGTCTGTTCTTGAATGTGTACTTCTTATATTTTATAATGATAGGGGAAAAAACCAGAGGATAGTAAGTTTGTAAGTCACAGAAAGGGAAAAGAAATGACCAGATTCCCTTATGAAGTGCTGCCTATCATTCGCGGAGAAGTAAAATTGTTGAACACTCGTAGTTCTACTTCGGTTCTATTCCAAGCAAACGGGCTGGCTGCATGGGCTCTTTGGTGTTTTTTTTTTTTTTTTTTTACCAGCTGCTCTTAAAAAGATTTCCACAAAGGCATCTCTTTCCTTGCGTAGAGAGCCCATGAGTGCCTTGCCATAATCAATAAACCAAACCGATTTGAAGGTCTGGTTAAGAATGAATCAATGTAGATTTTACTTCATTTCCATTGGTTAATTTAAAGTTCAGTTCGGAAATAGGTATCTGCTTAATTAGCGTGTGATTAGCGAAATGAATATCTGCGTCATTAGCGTTACTTAGGAATCATTTGAGAAGCGTTAGTTCTGAAATGAGCTAAGAGATACACAATATGAGATCAGAGAAAGTTCTTATGAGCATATTATTTTTCAGCACAAAAAAGGAGACAAACAAATTAATAATGAAAGTTAAGAGGTTATTGCAAATTAAAGTTAGTATCTTACTTGAACTATTTGTAGCTTATATATGTATAATATATATATATCCCTACGTCTATATACAATATGAGCGTGTTTATCTGTATCTTAGAGAATTAGTGAAAGATCACTTGGGAATTCCTGAAGACTTAGCATTTGATTGGATGAGCGATAATCTATACTGGGTTGATTCTACTAAAGGTACAATAGAAATTATTAACATTAATACTTCCCGTCAATATACCATTGTTGAAAACTTATCAAATCCAACTGACATCAGTCTTGATCCTCCGAGAGGGTAAGTAATTTCATATTATTAATTTAGTTTCTCTTTCTTTGTAAGAAACGCATTAAGATTAGAACTTGGTAATGTAATTGGCTGAAAGTTTAATACTTTTGGTAATCGTGTAGATATAAAATAGCAACAACGTATATTTATATTTTATATATATATATATATTCGTACAAGAAATATTTTATTTTTCTATATGTATTCTTTTTCCATATTTATAAGCTTTAGTATATCTAGAAAATCCCTGAATGCCATCAACACGGCAATTTGCGATGATGTTAACACATGTAGGGCTCACCAGCGGCCAAGCGGTAGTGTCGCTGAACAGTGGTAGTTCGGTTCCGAGGTTCGAATGCAGCGAACGGGCTGGTTGCATTGGCGTTTTCGAAGTTTCTCCCATGTGTAACGTATATATGAGCCAGTTGCCTTAGAAAGTTCTCCCCGAAGGCATCCTCCCCTTAGGCAGATAGCCCTCGAGGCTTTGCCGTATTCACATAAACCAAACCAAACCAAACCACCTTCAACGTTCAGGAAGTTCTTCCGAAAGCATCCTATCTTCGTGAGCTTTGCGGTATTTGAATAAGCAGGCAATGAGACAATCATATTTAAATATAATGGTGAGCAGTCGGGCATTTTCCTTTTATCACACTAACTAATCCTTTACAGGTTAGAAGTTTTAGATCGGGTATTTTCATGTAACATGAAAGAGCATTTGTTTTGAATGTCTTCCAAAGAACAGCATGAAGTTGGTGATTGAGAAAATGCTAAGATTACTGCATATTAAATGTTTATTGCTGTGGAAATACCTAATGGAGTATATGCGTTATGGTGGGTTCGATTGGAAAAACTACGGAAACATATTGTTAACTTTGCTAATTCTGTTGCAGGCTCTGTATGCAGTTTCTAAATAAAGCTACTGAAGCTTTCCTTGTATTTAACGTTAACACATAAGAGTCTGGATTAAAACGTCCTTCATGTCATCGTTATCCGTAGATAAATCCTTGCACTAGTGTGCTTTGCAAAAAACAATTTAACCAGGATATAATTCCAGGATAAGCAGTATAATTATCTTCGATTTTATGACAAGATAGGTTTCGACTGAGAAAGTTTGGATAACCACCATTAACACAACGCTATAGGTTTGCTTTGTATGATCTGGAAAATGCTTCATGTAGACGGATGACCATTTCAAAGAAGGAAAATTCAGGAAACTTTTCTGTGTTGTAAATCCTCCAAAATATACTTGCACGGGTATAGCGGTGTCGTTTCTAAATTCAGTATGTTGATTGATACTTTCGCTTATTTAGCTGCAGTTCTGCAGAACACATCTTACGAAACACATATGCAAAACTATTTCCTTTTGCTGTCTTCGAGGTATCTTCCTTTCGCCGATCATCTTGCTGCTTGCTGCCAGCAGTCTCTGAACGTACTCTCATATCATGATTTTTGATGTGAAGACAATCTGACAATATACACGATCTATCCTAGTACCATCTTTGTGGAACCATTAACTTTTACTGTTTTAGCATTTCAGTGTGGTGATGCCAGGTTACCTCAAATTTCTCTAAAGTACTGTTAACAATTGATACGATTCCGTCCAAGTGCTACCTCAGCGACGTTTTATAACCTTTTTATCATGGAAATATCTCTTTAGGACTGGCCTGTGTGGAATTTGAACTAATCTTATTTTTTTCTCTAGCCGTACATCTTGCAAATGATTCCTTTGAACCGTGTAGTAATTACCAGAAGCTAACTGCAAGTCCGAAATCTATGAAATAGGTTTAATTATTTTTATGCAAGACTCGGTTATATGTGTCTCCCTCACTCTTGGATGACATTATAGGTTGAAAGACGGCTAAGTGGACTATGATTTTTGGCAGTTCCCAATAAAACTTTCCAACAAACGCCCGGTCATTCATGGCCGTAGAATAATGTAGCTCACAGATAGATATGTTTATGGGTCTTGAAGGCAATGCTTGCACTGTTTTATATCCAACTGAGGTGTCAGAAAAGAAAGTATACTATTACATGAATAGCTTAATTTTTCTTTGCTAATAAATAACTTTTTACAATAGTAAGTATTATCGAAAGATATTATTTTCTGTTTATCCGATGCAGAAAAAAATGTATTCGATTTGTTAAAATGCTTATTAATGTAAATCAAAGTCAGTTGGCAAATGGCAGGGAATAATTTTATCCAACAATAGCTGAAAATGTATTTTTTAAGTGTTGCCTTTGCTTCATCATTTTATAATATGTTTTGACAGTTTGATGTTTATATCCGTAAACGGCGGAACACCTTCGGTTACTATGTATGATATGGACGGTAAAAATCCCCGAGGTTTAAATCAAGTTTCTGGCGCGCCGATGTCTCTCACTATACTTCCATCCGCGAGTCGTCTTTTTTGGGTCAGTCGAAGAGCTGAATCAATTTCATCTTTGAATTACTTAAAACCAAACAGGTAAGTTTTTACTGTCCTGAAATTACGATTGTATTCATTCTGAAACAGCTGTATATAAAACTGATTTTATGTTATTTGCAACAGAGCAGGGCGAAAACCAACTCTCAGGCCAATGCGGCCTGTTTAGTTGCTTAACCAGCTCTTTATGAAATGCTGTCCAATGACATGTTCCTTTTTTCCCTCCCCTATTTTTTACGTAAACTATCGAGATCAGCATTACAAGCGCACACTATCGTTTATACATATGCATGACTATATGAACTGTGAACAATTTGTTTGATGACATCCTAATATTTTTTGTCGGTTAAAGAAAAAATTAACTCCTTTCCTGAATTGTAAACACGCTAAGCGCCAGGCGAATTTATAAGGAAATTCTAGAAATATCCTTAACGTATTTTCTGCTTAGAAATGTAATTCTACTGTGGTGTAACAATGCTAAGCGTATTTCCAGGATTGTTAGTTAAGATCAGAACTTTTTACGTTTATATGCATTTAGTTCTCTGAGGTTCTTAATCCAGTACATAGTTCTTAATCCAGTATTTCTTTTCTGTTGGCATACTAACTACATTGAGCGAATTAAGTGCTGTGCTGCAAGTAAACGTGCAATATGCTTTTAGGTACACAAAAATCAGAGCATTTCTGACAAAATTTATTTGCTAAATTTGAAATAAGAAGGAATTAAACCGCTTTCCAACACTGTAATCTCAACAAGAAAACTTGAGAAATAATTTTGTTACGTATGGAATAAAAGTAAAATAATTACTTGCTGAATTTGGCAGAAGATTGGAAAAAATTAAGTCATTTGCAGTCGTATCATTTGCTAAGGGAGGAGTTTCATTCAAGCGACTTAGCACTTTAATATGGTTTTTTAAATGCAAACAAATTATAAAATTTTCGGAATTATCTCAAAATATTTTTAGTTTTATTTAGATGGACATATTTATGTGCAAGCATATTTTCGTTATAGAAGTATACAAAAAATAAATATCGACTCTCGATCACAAATCGAGATCGAGACAAAAAATAAATAACGACTCTCGATCACAAATCGAGATCGAGACAAAAAATAAATATCGACTTTCGATCGACAGTCGATCACAAATTACTAATAAAAATTTACATTCGTTGTTAGCGATTACAACAAATGAGTTGAAACGTAATTTGGATGATATACTTTCAAAAGAGGATTCGCAATTTCATATCAAGTATATATATCAACTATAACTTTTACTGTTTTACAAAGAAGGAAATACGTAATATGTGTGTTATTTTTTTTTTTTCTAGTGAACCTGTTCTCCATATAAACAAACTTAGAGATGTAAATTCTGTTGCTGTTAGTGAAAGATACCTTTATTGGACATGTGCGAAGAATCTTCAAATACATGTGGTGAAGATGAACACAACCTATATTCATTTGCTGTCTCTTCCGCACAGTAGTAGCGATTTTTCATCAAAGAAAATAACTTATTCTTCTATTCCACTGTCAGACAAGAATTCTCCAGGTATGCTCAGGATATTTATATCGGGCATTTTGAATATAAATGGCTTCATAACTTATTTTCATTCTGTTACAGGGGTGCCTCCATGCTCATTGAAGAATGGCGGTTGTAGTCACCTTTGCGTAAGCGCACCAGAAGGAAGATCGTGTCTTTGCACTACTGGAATGACACTTTCGAGGGATAACGTAACTTGTGAAGGTAACTTAATGATAAAATATTAGATCTATATTAGATGTAGATGCAGGGTGCTTAAAAATTTGCATTGCTAAATCTGTCTTAAGTCACAGATACGTGATCCCACTTTAAGAAATAAATCAAAGTAGATTTTCAGCCTACGGCAGTTTTAATCACATGACTATTTGGGAAAAAATATGTAAAATATAATCTTTGATAAAGATCCTCAATAATGTTATACTATTTGGAAAGGAACACGTGAATGAACAATTATTAAAAATTAGGCAAAAAAGAAATGCTAGATTGGTTTAATATCTATGCCAATCTAAAACTGCTTTTTTGTTTAATTTCGCAGAAAGTTTTAGCTAGTAAATTTTTTTTTTCATTATAAAAATTTATTTTTGTATTACGGTGGCATAAATAAAAGTAATATGAGTACTATGTTGATATGGTACACAGTTCAAGACAAGAAAAATGAAAGAGTGATCATGTGGCTTGTAGTAGACGCTGAAACTAATACCCATTTATCTCTCGGTATTCTTCTGTCTTGATTAGCAGATATTTGAAAGCTGATCTTAATCCATATAGTGAGATAGCTTCAATCGCACTAATGTTCTGCGGATATAGTTCTGTGGTGTGAAACAAACACAACTTTTAAATCAGAAGGGTTCCACTGCGGTCGCTCCTAACTCTTATAGAAGCTCTTAAAGAAGGCTAGTAACTGGAAACAATATCTGCTAGTTTATTAAGACGAATTAGTGTTTCTTTTACTTTTATTTTATGTGAAGCTGTTCTGTAGTATATATTGTTTGATGTAAGGGCAAATGCAATATAAAATTAGCTTAAGTATTCCAGATAAATACAGCCACATCTCTGAAATCCACTCATCTGGATGATTAGCTTGAATCATGCGCATCTTAGCTTAAAATTCATCGGAAGAAAATATTTTGACAATGCGCTCCAGTGATCTTCGAGTCATATGAACTATTGTTCCTTCCTGCTGGAAATAATCCTTCCTCGTCGATTGATTGATTTCTTTTTCAAGATTTACTTCTGGAGTAGAAGAGATTTTTATATTTTCTTGCTAAAACATAAATGATTAAATAAAATCGTAGCATGCAATACATGAGATAATAAAATACAGAAAAAGCATAAATTTTAAAATAATTATATACCTTATACTAAGTATAAATAATTTAGTCACAGGGTAATTCTATTTACCCAGATGGGAAAAATAATCCAGTGCACAATCAAATCTTTTGAGATGGTGTTTAGTTTTGAAGTTAGTGGTAAGATGGAAATAAACTACATTGCGAGCCAAAAGTAGGATTATGTAGTTAATATTTCATCCGCCACAACATGGAATATTCTCAAAAGTCTTCGATTTAATTCGCTACGTCTGGGAATACGTTAAGGATATTTTGATTCTCAGATTTCTTGAGATGTTTCTAATTTAACATCCCAAAGATGTCTTTTTGAAGTCACTATGCCCCGGGACATGCAAGGATGTCCTAAAGACATAGTCATTTAACACCGTAATAGGATCGTTTATCACCCTGATGACCTTGAGGATATTTACATTTGGTTTGTCTAGAGCAGTGTTTCCCAACCTTTTTTGTGCTATGCCCCACCTAATCCTCTATAAAATTTTTAAGTTCCCCCTAGCATATATATAATTTTTAATATTTAAAAATTGAAATGTTCATGAAAGAAACTTGAATGATAGCTTTTAGGAAGAAATGACTACGAAATTTTGTGAGCAAACACAGTAAGTGAACTTTAAAAACGTGGAGAACTGAAATTCAAGAGAAAACTCCTTTTAGTGAAAGTTTTTCATTTTAAGTATTAATAATTTTTATCATTTAAATTTAGCGAGTTTGTTGCGCTTGATACTTGCTGCAAAGAAATTTTATGTCAGGTTCCAATTTAGATAACTTGAGTCTCAAGTCTCCCGGTTTTGCATCGACATAAGTTTTATTTGCTCCTTGAAGTTGTTTATTTAATATATTTAATTTTTCAAAGATATCGGCTAAATAATACACAATTGCCTTGTTATCATCCGTTAAAGGATTTTTCATCTCAGGTTTATCGCTTATAAAATAACTAAGAGTATCAAATAGTTCCATAAATCTTTCCAAGCAGTTCCCTTTCGACAGCCTTCTTACTTCAGTGTGAAGTACAAGTCTCATATAGTCTTCATTTTATTCTTCATAAAATAACTTGAAAAGACATTCACATTTGGCCCTAGCTTTAATATCATTGATATACTTTATAACTAAGTTTAGTACTTCATTTAGAACAAGCGAATTGTTTTTAGCTACCAGGTTTTCTTTATGAATATCATGAGAATTAAGAAATGCACAAGAAGCATTTCTGGATTCTCATCTTTTATCAATTTTAAGCAACCCTTTTTCTTTTATTCCCTGCTTTATTTTATTTTTCAAACCATCATATTAGGAGCACCATCTGCAGTACAAGATGTATTATATTTTTTATTGGTATATTTTTATATCTAAATTAGTAATTTTTTTAGCTTACTATAAATATCTTTGAGGGGTAGTGGTGCTTTCTAATGAATTTATGACACTAAGAGCATTTCTTCGGCAAAATCCCCTTTATGAATATATCTTTACATAAGTTACAAGTACGGCCTCACTGTCTCTCAAAGTTGGTTCATTCCATTTGCACCCGAAAATTTTCTTGTTTTCAGCTTTCCAACAAGTTGTATTTCAATATCCTCCACTCATTTCATCCTTATTCTATTGCAACAGTATTGTTATTTAGTGGCATAGCTTTAACGTCATTGTCACCTTTTTCTAGGACAGTTTTAAAAATGCTGATATTGATGGTTTGATTCAATTCTCCCCTACAGTACGGCTTTTTCCCAGCTTAAGCGATGAGTAATGAAATTTGATAAATAGCCTCAAGAGCACGATTAACAGTTGCATTATGAGCAGTAAATAGAGACTTCAATATTACTCCTTTTTCAAAAATTTTCCTTAAAGTGTGAAAATAATTCAAATCTTATTTAATATCGGCATTATATTTCTCCTTCAAATGTGCCTCAAGACGACCTAGTTTCATTGATTCGTTGGTCAGGCATTATTGGCATAAAAGACAAAAGTTGACCGTAAGGACCGGGTATGAAACCAAATTTTAAATATGCGTCCGAATATCGTCGAACGTTTTTTTCTTCCTTGCACCCTTCATTTCACTAAAGGCTGAAAGAAACAAATATAAGATCAATATAAATAAAGCTAAAAGCAGCTGCTGTTGCCATTCAAGGGAAGAATAATATACCGGTTGCCATTCCTACACTAAAAAATAAAATACATTTGTTGGCTGAAATAGACGAGAAACTTCTGAAAAGCATATGTGTCAGTTATTTAAATGCCTTTAAAAGCATTTAAATGTCCGTGTCTACAGCGAATTCTTTATAAAATATGCACCGCAATTTAAAAACTTTTTTACGTATACATCACTTAAATTTTTCTTTATTTTTGGGGAATAAAAAATGAAATTTCGAAAACTTTTGACTTCATGAAACATATTTAGAACGTCCTTTGTTCCCTTAAACTCTGAACGAGTCCATTTTCGAATTGCCCCCCTTGTGGGGCGTGGGCCCCACGTTGGGAAACACGGGTCTAGAGGGTTTTCATCGTCAAGCATTCTGAGGCTGTGTTTTTCTCAGGTCTTCTCGCTATTTAGTTTTGCGAATTTTCTCGTGAATGACCTGGGGATCTCTTTGTGATGTTAATGTCTAGAAAGGATATGGTTGGGGAGTTATAGCTCCAGATGCTTTAAGAATCCGCTCTGATTCCGATATCAATATCCTTAAACAAATCTCGTGTGGATTTGACTATGCGGGATTGCCATTTAAAGTCATCAAGGCAAGAGAAATCATTAAAATCTGCATTTCTATGGATCTTTCCTCAAGGTTTAAAATATTTTATCTGCTTTGGTAGACTTATGATAATAACCTTTGACTGCTGTTGGATTTTTCTACAGGGTGTTTCAAAACTGTTTTTACAAATTAAGAGAGGTGATAGTACTCATCCAGATGAGCAATAATTACCATAGAACATAGGTCGCATTCCACTCTGAAAGGCAGAAAAGAGGAATATTAGAATTCCAACCTGAACTTAAACAGTGTTGGGAGAGCGAATGAAGGAGACCAAAAGTTGCGCAATCAGCTTAGTGAAAATCTCACAGAGCGTGCCCAAAACGGGTAAAACCGAAAAACCTGGCGTTCGAGTGTTAATTCAGGCTCAGACTTTGATGGCAAACACTCAAATTCACATCTTTGGATCTCAAGGTTTCAACTTCCGCTGTATGTCGAGATTAGAATAGAAAGTTCATGCTGTGTTCCGGCTTTCAGAACTTCGTGTCCCATTGAAGAGCGCTTCAAGTCGAATGAGCGCAACACAGTAAGTCCAGGATAGAAGATGGCGAAGGGGGACAAAAACTGCTACATTAATGGTATCAAACCCACCCTAAGTTGGAGTTAGTTAATAATATTCAACCCTTGATTAGATAATTAACTTGTTGTAATCGTTTACGAGGTTGAGACCTTGCGAACCAAAAAGATGCATTTGAGTGTTCGCTATCAAAGTGTGAGCTAGAATTAACACTCGAATGCCATGTTTTCGGTTTTATCTGTTTTGTGCACTCTCTGTGAATTTAACACTAAACTGATTGCGCAACTTCTGGTCTCGTTCATTCGCTCTCCCAACACTGTTTAAGTTCAGGTTGGAGTTCTAATGTTCCTCTTTTCTCCCTCTAAGAGTGGAATGCGACCCTATATTCTATGGTAATTATTGCTCATCTGGATGAGTGCTAACACCCCTCTTAATTTGTCAAAACAATTTAGAATCACCCTGTATAGCAAAGCTCTCTGGAAATATTCATTATATCTTTCATACTTGCCTTAAACTTAGGCACTCTCTAAAATTACGTATCTTTCTGTGTCTATTACATAAAAAGTAAAGAACTTCTCTGGAAGCAGTTAAGTTCAGACCCAGTTTTCCTAAATGCTGGTTTAAAACGTTCTCCGTGATTGTCATTGATGTATCGACATATAACAATTATTTTTAGAATATTTTTTCCAAAATAATTTTTTTATGAAATTTTATGTAATTAAGAATTTGTGTACTAATAGTAATTAGCAGTTCTAATATTCTTAATTTCTCACTGCTTTCTTTGTTTTCCTGTACCGACTCTATAGTGTAACTATAGTGAATAGTTACAAAGTGTGTTAAACCAACAAAGCAAAGATGATCTAATGGAGAATTTAAATGACACAAAACTGTAAAAAGCTTTTTAAACCAAAAATATTTTTATTTCATAATTTTCAAAAATTCAAATTAAAAAAAGATTTTTTTTACTTTTGCAAAATTGAAATATATCTGATTCAAGAAGAACAAATTCAAAAAACTTTTTTTCGAGTAACTATAAAGGATAATTCTCTTTTTTAATAAGTATTCACTTTCTTAATAAGTAATGTTTTAGATTTATATTAAAAAGTTTATTCAAATTGCCACCTTTTTTTTAAGGTTCAGCTAAAATTTGTTAATAGGCAGATATCTCTTATCAAACTCGTGTGGAGGCTCTTGTTCTGTTACTTTGGGCATTTAGAAGTCTTGAGTGCTTACTATATGTTATGTTATGTTATGTTATGTTAGGGCGCAGCCCGGTTCACCTTGCAAAACAAAGTTTGACCTATGACCCTATACGGGTTACGCCAGTACAAAAATCACCACACAACTGCCCAAATGAACAAAGTCCCCAAGTGAACAGTCCCCAAATGAACAAAATGCAATGAACAAAAGAAGGCGTGTAAACTTTATTTATTACAAAAAGTTTAGTTTATTAATATTTAGTTGTAAAAAAATTTGCTTTAGAGAACTGCACTAATTCTGTTTTGCATTCAATCGACTAATCGTTAATATATTTTAATTAATGCATCCAGGATATTTTTTCAAAGGGCTTTCAAATATGATGGCCCTTTTATCTTTTATGTGATGCCTGGTGACTGAGAAGCTACCGACAGAACATCAATCTTGTTTCATTCAAACCAGCATTTTAGCTTTGATGAATGCTTCAAACAGTTATCTTGTTGACTCAGCCATTTCGATCGTATGCTCTTTTCTGCCCATGATAACACTGTACTCTTCTATGATATTCATACACGTCTCTTTAATCCCGATATCATCCATACGAAAAACTGAATTCTCTCTACAGCACGTGAAACAGTTCCACAATATAAGACAACTGACTCCAACTTTAACAAATCAATGCATCTGATCTTGATCGATGTTCTTCTATAGTATGAATATTGTTCTTGGAAATTGTTGTAACTGTTGTTGTGATGAAATTGTTGTGTTATAACTCTGTAGCCTAGGTTGTTGTAGTATTGCTGTAGCGATAGTGTTGTATTGCATTGTGTCGTATTTAGTTGTTTTGATTGAGGTTGTTTTAGGAACTTAAAATTGTATTGAAACCATTGCTATAGAGTATTTTCTCATATTGTTGTCATTGAAATTGCATTGTCTTGGATCCTTCTTGAAACTTCTGATCGCTCGTCACGTTTTGCGAACTTGTCTGATTGGATTGTCTTGCTCCTTTTGGTACTTCTATTTTTCCCTCTCAGATTTTTTCCACGTCTGGATTTCTATATGTCATGTGCCCTCGGGCTTTAATTCTGGAACCGGAAACTTTGCTCTTCGCAATAGTTCGGTCAATTATAGAGTCTGTCTTTAACAATTTCCCATGCGAGTTTCTGATTATATGCCTGGCTTTGATGTCGAAGACAAAGTATTTGAAATTTTTGTATTTGTGCTGCGATGCTCTAGTACATCGTCTGTGAGACTCGTCTGCCAGACTATATACGCAGTCGCAAAGCGTTACCATGGTTACAAATTTTTCCTTTACCATCGTGATAGTTAAAAGTGTGTATTTAATTATGGCAAAGCACACTAAGGCTATCTGCCTAAGGGGAGGGATGCCTTCGTGGAGGACTTTCTAAGGGAAACTGGCTCGTATACACGTTACACATGGGGAAAACCACGAAAACACCCATGCAGCCAGCCCGTTCGCGGGATTCGAACCTCGGACCGAACTACCAGTGTTCAGCGACTTTACCGCTCGGCCGCTGGTAAGCCTCGTGATAGTTAAAAATAAATGAAAATAGTTGCTCTAAAGATTTGAAGTTGTGTTTTAATTTTCTTATTCGGATAACATTTTTTAAATACCAAAGTATCTCTAATGTTTTTATGTCATCTCTCGAGAGTACATTTCTCAATTCTTTCTTCAATTTTTCAGAGTTGTTTTCTATATGGTACAAATTGGCAAAATGCATAAACTTTTCAGAACGCATTTTCTTTATAAACGAAACTTTCTTTGGACGGAGAGAGTACATCCTTTCATTCACCACAATATTCGTCGAAGTATTTTATCACACATATTAACACCGATTTAATCCTGAAGGTCCTTGATGGATAACCATGAATTCTTTCTTGATTTTCGGTGAAGAAATCTTTTTTTTTTTTTTTTTTTTTTTTTTTTTTTCTGTTTTTTGTTAGAAGGCCTATTCTTATATTTATAGCATAAATCCTTTACATACCGGATTCCTTGTGGATTACAGTATAGCGTTTAATAGCAGAATAATAAAGCTCGAGCATATATTGCAGCGATTAATACATTCTGAGCTCGGAGCTGGCTTTGGCAAGCATCAGTCAAAAGTACATAATACATATCTACGTAACGACGCTGCAATAGGCGCGCAAAAGAAGCTGAGAGAAAAAAATATTAATTATTGCAGCTTAGAAAATGGCCAGTTAAAATATAAACACAACAACAGTTCAAGAAATTTTTTACATTTTTTTAAGCTTTCCTATTTATTTCTTTTATGCATACTATGGATAGTACAGAGAAAAATATTGTGATCGAAAAAATGTACCAATAATCAGTAACGATGTTTACAAAGTCAATAAATTCTATCAGCAGGGTTCAAATAATACGCATTTGTCATAAAAGGTAAAAATGACGTAATTATCAAGTTTGAAAAACCAAATATATATATATATATATATTTGGTAAATGCTGTGCATTGAAAGTAAACCTAATAACAAAACTCAGAAGTGTGAAAACCATAAAATGAGCAAAATAGATAAAGAAGACTAATTTTGAGAAATGGATATTCGGAAGATAACGCTGATAAAAATTTCAGAACCGATTTTTGGTCAAATTTAGATGCTTTTCTACCTCAGGGCAAATATTCATTCGTACCTAGAAATTCTAGCTCTCAATCGTATTAATGCTAATAAATTATGTAATTTATGAAAAATCCAAGAAATTATTCCCTAACGAGATAAGCCTGCTGAATACTAGTAATTCAACCTAGGTGCAATTCTTGATTGATGCCCTCGCTGCATTAGCGTTTTCCTCTTGTTAACAGTAATAAGACCCCGATTTTGTTAGTAAATCTACCGTGAAGCCCTCCTTCTCTTAGGCAGGCATCTCTAGCGTCTTTCATTATAATTTATTTATAACGTATATAGTACGAGCCCGTTTCCCTTAGAAAATCCTCCACGAAGGCATAGCTTCTCCTAGACAGATGGCCCTCTAGTTCTATAAAAAATTCTTAAAAGGTGTGAAAGATACTTATGCTTTGCCGTAATTAAAAAAACTAACCAAATCATTATAAGTTAATAAACAAATTAAAAAATTCTGTTTAATTTTGTATTAAGAATATTTTAAAGGGAGATCTAACAGGAAGATAGTTATAACAATTGTAACAAAAAGAATGCGGCGAGGAACACGTGTTGAAATTACTAATAATTTAGAACAGTAGGCATAGTAAATTTGCAGGACTGTAGTTTAGTCAATTAACTGGAATAAATTTCTTCAGTTACAGAAATGAAAATGATGAAGAGGAAATGTGCTCAAGCGATGACATATAGTCAAAATAGTTCTTGAAAATATTAGATTAGAAAAAGAAAACAAAGCCAGTGGCGCCATCAATCGTTAAAAAGTGAAAGTTATGAAACAATTTCTTGAAAATTTGGAAGTAAAAACTGATTAGAACTGGGATCATTGACTAGAACTAAAAAGATTTATTTGAATGTGATACGTCTGTTGGAAATCTAACTTGCCAAAGGGTGATTTTTTTTGAATAATTTTTGCTGAAAAAATATAGAAAATGTGATTTTTTTTATTAGCAATATTGAGCAAGGGAGATATAAGAGTTCCTTTTTGCCTAACGAATGTCTCTGTTCCTTAGCGCGAACTAGTCTTAGAGAAGACTATTATTTACGAAATTAGACGAACTTAGAAGACTATTGTTTAAGAAATTAAATTTTCAGAATGTCTTATTTCCTAAAATTTCTACGCAAATAAGTAACTGGAATTATACTTATTTTAGTCTACTTTGACTATTATTTACACACAAACCACTATGAAGATACGGATTTTCAGTTCTTTGTTGATTTGAGGTACAGTACTTAATCTCCAAATTTTTAAAGCAAACAACTCTGCTTTTAATGATTAAATTTGGAAGTATGATCTGATTTCGATGCCAGGAGAATGAACTAGCTGTCTGCTCGATTGAGTTTTACCGTTTGTAACGCAAATACAATCCGATTTCTCTTAGAAATTTCACCACGGAGGCATCCCTCTCCTTAGGCAGATCTCGTGTACACTTTGTCGTATTCCAATAATGTAACTTTCCTTCAGAAAATTTCGGTTAATATATTTTACTAAAAGATATTTAAATGGTTATAGTTACGTGAAAGATCCTTATGTTTATCCTTCTATTATTTTAGCCGGAGAATGCAATGCCGGTGAATACCGTTGCGCGAGGAGTCGGAAATGTGTCTCTAAAGCTTTTGTATGTGATGGAGTCAAAGACTGTGAAGACGGATCTGACGAAATTTGCAGTGGTACGTTTTTTTGCTTATTGTTTTGCAAGAGTTTCAATATTATGAGTGCAACATTAAAATTCGTAATATTTTAATTTTTGTCTTATTCCATAATTATCTTGCTTAATACGATATCTAAATGACATAATATGTGTTATATCCAACTAGTAATTTTTATAATCATTTGCACCATTTGATATATAGTTAATAAAGGTTTTCCTAATTATGTGCGTATTATATGTCACGGTATAGAGTAATTTGAATATGTTGGAATACGAAACCTCTAATAAAAGAGTAAACACCTAGGTTACCTGGATGAATTTAAAACCTAAAAGTGAAACTTAAATACTCTCCGATTTTTAAAGCACAGATACCTAAGATTATTCCAAGATAAGAAATTTTGATTAATGAGGGCCTAATCATTGAAATATGCGTCAAATGTTGTAGTCTTTTTTTCTTCGTGTCATGAAGAGCTATGCAATGATGTCTTTGAAAATAATGAGGAAGCATTAAAATCAGCCCAGGAATTTTCTCTGCTAGATTTTCAGTCGAACTCGGAGCTGCTGGATATGAACGCCTGCAAGTTAACTGCAAAGCAATTTTATTAATTTTGACTACGGATGCCATGTGGCCCACCGGCGGCCGAGCGGTAAATTCGCTGAACGCTGGTAGTTAGATCCAGGGTTCGGATTCTGTTGAAAGGGCTGGCTGCATGGGCCTTCTTGTAGTTTTCCCCATGTGTGAGTTTTCCTTAGAATGTTCTCCAAGAAGTCATCTCTACCGTTAGGCAGATGACCTTGAGTGCTTTGCCACAATCAAATGAACCAAACCGGATGCCGGTAGTATCGTGTCGTAGTATTGAACAAACCAGGGTTTCTCAAACTTTTTTCAGTCGCGACCCCTTTTTTATCACTGAGATTTTTTCGCGAACCCCAGGACCCCATAATATATACGAAACTTTTGTGGGACCCCATAAGCATTGCGCAAATCCGACACACCCGTGAGTGAAACTGCCAATTTTCCCCCTTGTTACTGCAATATACTAGTGCAGTTTTAGGTCATTAACTTTAATTTCTAATTTTAAGACATAGAACAATGTGAAAATTTTAAATAAGTAACAGACGAAATAACAACATCACGTGCAAAACAAGTAAAGTAAACGTTTATATTATAAAAAGAATGCGTCGAAATGTTTTCGTTTTTTATTTATATGCATTGTCTTATCTTTATTTATTTTCAGATACATTATATAAAAATATTTGGCAATTGTAAAATTATTGTAATAAGTTAAAGAAATATCAAAACTGCTAAAATTTTTGGCGACCCCCTGTTGCAGGTCCCTCGATCCACAGTTTAAGAAACTCTAATCTAAACTATGCAATAAAGCTGGATTTGTGGTATTACGGCATTTCATTTACATATAAATTTTAAAAAAAGTTTTATATCTCCTGTTCTACTGGGTCTATTGACGAAATTTAACTTGCGTTTTTCCATATCTCGAAAGTGCGATTTAGGATTTACATGTAGAATTGTTCAAACATGAGCGTTCTGTCACAAAATCGGACTTTATCTGAAATAACATACCAATTTTTTTTCCGTCTCTTGATTTTAAGACTCAAACTATGTTAAAAGGCCAAGTTTTGTAAAAATCGCACGAGTAGTTTTTAAAAAGTTAATTCTAAAAAATTTAGTTCCTCAATGTTAGTTGTATTTGGTATATATTTATTAATATCTCTTTTTTTATTAAACGTACTTGATTCTTTCTTTCACAATTCGAAATTTATGCTCAATCCAAATAAAATTCGCGGCTATTTTCTGATATGTTTTTAAAATTTGTATTTTTTAGTAATTCTTTTATAAAATTTTCGAAAACATTTTTGAATTATAATCCATAAAATTTTCACTGCTACATTAAAGTAGATGTATTTCTAGGCATATACGTGCAAAACATTAAGAGTTTTTTACTCAATATTTCCAAAGATATACGTGAATTTATATTCTGGGCGTATTTGTTATAAGCGATAATAACGCAAAATGCGCTTTACGTATTTTGTTAAAATTATGTGAAAGAATAAAAGATGCACCTTTGTATTTCCCTAGTGCACAATGCAAAAAAGGGAAAATAAAAATAGGTTACTATACATTAAGGATTTCGCCAAGCGAATTATTCTATTCAAACTGAAAAAAGTACGCCTAAACATTTTTTTTAATTTCTGTGTTGCTCACCAAATTTTAGAAAATCTAATATTTGGACGTAATTTGAGTCGTAGAATCGAAATATGTAGAAAAATCAGAATGTCATACTAGCAAAAGTCTTATTTTGTGTCAAGATACCTATGCTAGAACAACACTATATAAATCTAATATATATTCCTAAGTCGCGCTTCCGAGACATGAAATCTGCAAATTAAATATCGTCAGTCAGCCCAGTAGTCTGTCCCATTTTTTCCCCCTGCAAAGTGTACTTTTCTCAATTCCATCTTAAGACCGAAGTATAAATTACATATGGGATGCATAAAGCTATCTAACAGAAGTAATTTCGAGCGGAGGTTTTCTCAGCTTAAGAAATTGATTGCATGTGAAGACTTAGTGACTTGAAGAACTGATTCTATATATGAAGCAATTTCCCACTTAATGCCTCCCGAAGGCAAACTTAATAAGTAATTTTTTCTCATATACCACATTACCAAAATCATTACTTATTTTCACAAACATATTAAAAGTAATACAATATTTATTCAAACTATTAGCAATTATTATTCATTCGTATTCTGAAATGGAAAAACTTTTCACACTACTGAATCTGCATGTATACTTTTTATGCTAGTTACCGCTGGCGCTGCAAGCCTCCTGAGGCAGTAAGTTGCTAAATAAATAATAATAATAATTAAAAAAAATAACATCTAGTTAGGGCCATTTCGCTAGTTTAGCTATCAGACAGGCAGAGGTAATTAGTAGTGTTTACAGTCAACCGGGGTCACCACTTCTGGCGTTCAAAGACCACAGTGGAGGAAACAATGAAAACCTGGAGATCTGACTGGCCGTCAAGATGATCCCACCAGTACTACACGGGCTAGGTCCCATCCTTTGTGGGCCAACTATATTAGACGGAGTACAGAGTTATTACCTCTTTCCTCACCAGAGGTTCAACCCAGCCTCTGGTGGGCAAACTGCCTGACGGAGTACATAGCTATTATCTGTCTCTTCACAAGTTCAAAAACACGAGCCTAGTGGTTCCAGAAATCTAAAGTAAGAACGTTTTATATGATTGGACAAAGGGGGAAGTCTTCATTAATCCCCCTTTGTCCAATCATATAAGACGATCTTACTTTGGATTTCTAGAACCACCAGGCTCGTGTTTTTGTTCCCCCAGAGTGCTATTACCATAATAAGATACTAAGCCACATCTTAGGGGGTCGGATGTGTGTATATATAACAAATATATAGATTCTTTATTACTTAACCACTTACGCCACGACTAAACTTCACGGTTGCGGTGCCGTGCGCTACAATATAACAAGCGGTAAAGTGTCTCATTTACGCCGCTCCGCGTCTGCGAGTGCAATCCAGAGCTGTAACTCGAGAAATAAACAATCTCGTTGTTAGGCGACGTGTGCACCACGTTATTTTCATTTTTGCGATAAATGCCTATCGACGTGGTGTTCATGTCTCTCGCGGTTTGAGACAAAAGCATCTCGACGTGTATGGCACGTCTTTTTAGAGCAAGTGGTTAATGATTGAGAAGACTCTGTACGTATGTAAGTTCCTTACATTACAGACACGACGGCATCTAGAACCACCAAATTTTGAAACACTCGCATAGTCCTCCACCTGACAAGTAGACCTTCAGGCCAGAATTCCGAATTTGTGTTTAAACACAAATTCGGAATTCACTATTTAATAACTATTATTTATCACTATTTAATAACATGGAATTTAAATCCTTTTTGTTATCATAATTAATTTTCTCAGCTTTTCTGCTTGAATAATAACAGGATTTTGTCATTACCAAAAGGGGCTTTTTGGGAGGTAGAAGGATAAGAATTTATATAAATTTAACACAGCTAGTCCTATTCTTTATTTTCTTTTATTATGTTCGTTATGCTACATAGGCGTTTCTCATTCATGGGGGAGGCTTGCCAGTCCTCAGAGGTGTTGCCATTTGGTGAGGGAAAACTTGTTTTTTGAATTAAAAATATGTATTAGCTAAGCAATTTGAAAGCAATATACGTACTTCTTAATAATTATTTTTATTTAATAACAATATTTATGTGGATGTAATTTATAATGTGAATATTTTATTTAATTTTTACTTTATTGTAGTTAATCAAAGATGTTTTTAGAGTTTTGTTTTTCAGTAAGGAATAATCATTTGCTCAGTACTTAATAAAGAACTCTTCTGGTAGCCTTTTCTTTTTCTAGTTCAGCTATATACTACTCTAACACACAGGTCTAAATATGCTGAAGACTCTCGAACTCTTAGTTTAGTTTTTTTTCTTAGTTAAGTTTAGTTAGATTTTTTTTCTTATGGTGGCCCATTGCATCTGTTAATTTTTTTTAAATCCACTGAAAACGCATTTATGCTGCATATACTTTATGTGCAACGAAAGGAAATGAAAATTTATCTTTTATTGTAACTTTATATTTTTTTAATTTAAAATATTTTATAAGTTAATATTTTATATTTTTTCATAAAAACACATTTTCTTCATATACTTATTTAAGGAACAGAACCAATAAAAATGAAAAATATTATTTAATTTTTTTAGATGGCTATTCAAAAATTCTATCAAATCTTTGAGCAGTTTAGAATAGGTTTTGACATGCAAAAGCTCCTACAGATCCCAGGGCTTTGCTGAATACGATTTCAAGATAAATCCTCTAACATAATAATTTTTTCTTTCGTTTCTAAATTTTGAGTGTTGCGTATATTTTATATGTTTAAAATTTACCATTTCTTCTTACAATCAAAATATAATTCTGTTTGGAAAAATAGCAGTACCATGAAAAAATCTTTAACTCAATGAAATATATTTCACATACAACTTACAGTGACACAAAGAAACTATCAAATTTATGAATTAAGAACTATACTATTAAATGTTCAAAATCGGTAGCCGATGAAACCGCTGTGCTCTGCAGTAAGAGCTCTTACTCTCTATAGCTTTGAATCAAACAGGTTTTGAATGTATACCTTGAGGGTAAGCATTCCATATCGTTTTTACTCGACCCACAAAGTTGACTTGTGATTTGGGGGCCAAGTGCAAAGAGCGAGTTGCCTCTGCACGAAATCTTAAACATTTTCAATAAGCTACATATTTAGTAAAGAGGCAGGTGAAGGAGAAAACGTTATTTGGAAAATCGAGAAGAAATCTTAATATGAATAATACTCTTGATACACATTTCCAGGAATGTTTTGAATGAAAGATACGACTTCTGACTCTACACTGCCTCTGATGTAGTAGTTGCTGATGAGAATACCTTGAATTCCTACCAGATGAAGTCAGACAGCACGTCCGTTAGGGTTCTAAAATATCCCATATGCCGACTGTCTAGTATGACACTGGATTATGCCTTCTGGAAGATAGTGTTCACCTGTATAATGTCTAATGTGTATTCGACCATCACTGTACTCAACTGAAGCAGGATTCATTGGAAAAGACTATCAATTGCAAATCAGAACGTCAGTGACTCGAAGGAATGAGTCCATAGTACGAGTAGTTGCAGGTGTCGATGGTTAGAGGCAGGATAGTGTATTGCATACACGCATTTCTATCCCGCGCAAAAAATGCTTACATGCAACACACAGCGCAACCGACGCCAGCAAACACCATTGTGATTCTCACAATGGCATACTTGCAGTAATGCTTTTTAGGCCATTTTTTACAATATGGTTGCACGATTCGTCACTATGATGTGAATAAAGTGCATTCATCCATTAGAGATGAAATATTCTGTGCTCATTTCCACATATCCGATTTATTTGGTACTCTTGAGCGCACTTCGAGCACTCATCACTGATGAGCATCATGCACCATATGGAATGTGATATGATGACAGAAAATTCCTCCTTCTCTCAGTTACTACTTCTTCTTTCCTCTTTTACGGCGCCCACCAGCGGCCGAGCGGTAAACTCGCTGAACACTGGTAGTTCGGTCCGAGGTTCGAATCCCGCGAACGGGCTGGCTGCATGGGTGTTTTCGTGGTTTTCCCCATGCGTAACGTGTATACGAGCCAGTTTCCCTTCGAAAGTCCTCCACAAAGGCATCCCTCCCCTTAGGCAGATAGCCCTAGTGTGCTTTGCCATAGAGATTTCTCACGAAATATATACCGCTGGCAGACAATGAAACACTACTTTTACCATTTTTCTGTCGCCTTCTGTTTATGCGGAGGGGGAGTATCTCAGTTTACATATGCGCTATCATTCTAAAATTCTAATAATTTTCATATCATAACAAGATTTGCCCTTTCCTCTAAGTTTCGGTTCATTCGCATGATTCCTTCATGTTGCAGTTTTCATAAACAGGACCAATGTAAGAATGGCTGTGCATGTATTACATCTGCATGATCCTTAACGTAAATTTCTATTTATAAGGATATTATTTAGTGCATGTTTAATATTTCGAAGCATTCAGATTTCAAATACATGGTACATGTCTTTGAATTTTAATACAAATGACTTTTATAGATTGTTAAAAAAATAAAGTTCGCACGTCACGAGTAAAAAAGGAAGTTGTTCTTGCTGGAAGTGTAACATCAGAATAACATTAAGATTTGCTATAAAATGTTACTAGTAAAACAGAGTAGCTTGTAATTTTTTGTTTTTTATAAGCTTTAATGAAATTTCCAATATTGTTAAAAATAGTTTATTTCGAAAAACCATTATAAGGTAAAATTCAGTAAACTAAAAGAATTTTATTTCAGCTGGAAGATGGAACAGCGAAAGAAAGTTTACACATAGTCTAGAAAGTAAAACTACAGTGGTTCGCACTTATTTTCTGATACTTGTAGTTTTATAATTTGTATTTTGAACATTTTACTGAATTAAACATTTCTGCTTAAGAATTTTATTTAAATAAGAGTCATTTATTTCAGAACCTACGATACGATGCCCGGCAAATGATTTCCAGTGTCGAAATGGTCGATGTATTTTTAGTGCATGGAAATGCGACAGAAGAGACGACTGCGGTGATAATTCGGACGAGGAAGATTGCCGTAAGTCATAACGGTTACTTTTCATATTCTAGTAGCTTTTAAAAACGTTAATTTGCTTGATCTATATTATTACAGTCTCCACTGCTCTGTCTGACTAGTGTTATCAGCTGCTTATATCTAAAACTTTCTCTAACCACTTTTAGATATAAGCAGCTAATAAGAAAGTGCCGCACATGTGAGAGTTTGAGTTCAGCAAGACACCTCTAAGAAATTCAAATTCTCTGTTATATTGTATATTAAAAAATTGTTTAATTATAAAGAACACTTAGAAAATATGGCAGCAGGCATTATTTTCTTTAACCCTTTCGGACCCGGGCCAGTTGATGTTTTCATCTGTAGGGGATTCTATAGGGAATCTCATAACGTACGCACTATTGAAATTGTGAGCCATTTTGTTTTCTCTTTGGATTAGTCATGCTTTCTAAAGCACTTCTTTTAGTAGTCATATTCTACTAAGTAGTGAATTAGTCGCATTGGTAAATAAACGATGCAGGAGAGCATATAAATACAAACAGTGCTGTGCTGAAACTGTGCGCAAATTATGTGGTATGTTTGATGAAAAAAAGCAGCACATGGAATGACTGTAAAGAAAACGTTCAAAAGTTAAAAAACGAACAAACAGGTTCGGCGATGGACAACAAAAAGAAGTGGATGTCTTCGTACTGCATCATCGACCAAATGCTCAGCCTAACATATTGCTACTGTGAACGCTAAAATTAACAGAACAAACAATTAAGTTCGCAAGTCGATAACGTAGTCTGAGACTACATTTTAAACAGAATAAGCTGGCTCATATATTTTACCAGCAAGTATTTAAAGCATCCGGCTAGGAAAAAATGCTAAAGCCGAAATATAATTTTTAAATAGAGCTGGTTAAAAATACTGAAAGCAAAACGAGGTTGCCAGACGCTCTCTAAACTGAAGATTCAAAACCCTCAGCTTAAATACACACAAAACTTATTTGCATTCTGGTGAGGAACATGGAAAGGACAAATTATAGTAAAAACGTAAATCATAATGACTGGTTGATTAACATAAGATACTTCATAGATCTATTAACCTGGTTCTTTGTTTAAACGGCCTCCACTGGTGGCTTAGCGGTTAAACGCTGCTGATAGTTTGTTTTACGAGCCTCTTTCATTAACCATTCCTTCTCTTAGGCATATTGTCTCCATTTGCCATAATTAAATACGTAATTAACCAATCTACTAATTTATGCGCGATTTCCAAACGGAAATTTCCAAACTAAGAACACCCAAAACTCACCTATCCTAGTGTAATGATTAAAACTCAGGTTTAGACATATTGCAATTAGAATTTTAAAGCCTTCGATACACCCAGAAAAGAAGATAAAAATCTTATATTCTGGTAAATTTTGTTGCTGTTGAACATTTCTGTGTTCGCCTTTATTTTCTACATAGATCATTAGTTTAAAATGATCTATGTAGAAATAAAGGCAACGAGCAAGTAAACATATTTCTTAATATTATATTACTGAAAAAATTAAAGGCCTCTAAACGCAAAAAATTTTTCAAATGGAAGTAGGAACAACTCCATGTCACAGTCAAGTGACGGAATCCCAATAAATTGAGTGGTTGGCATTTCAAATTACAATATCATGTGCAAAAGGAGTTTGTGTCCTACCCTGAAAACGAGAAGGACATCCTTTAAACAACTTCTCGAAAACGGACCTTCTAAAAAAAAAAAAAAAAAAAAAGAGCACATTAGTATATACAATAGCCATTAAAAAAGTTTGGCTTGAGACGCCGTGAGGGTAAGTCGCACTATTTGAGCTCCGCCTATTTGTTCAATAACTACGGACGTTTTACTCGCATCGACTTGGTAGTAGTTGCTATCTGTTCCTAAGATCAACAGTCCTAAGATGAACCAATTTGATACCCCATTTATATATGTTGGTCAATTTGTTCTCTAATTATCATTTTTACAACAAATTAGCATTGAGCTGTGTTATTCCCAGCGGATATACCACCTTTGAAGTCCTCTGAGGGAGCTGTTGTTATCCGTCGCGACCTAAAAGTTACATCATCTTGTAGAGATAAATTCCCTCTTCAATTCAAGATATGTGTGAAGACAATTGGATAATTACAAAATTAATTATGGACCAAATTACTGTAATTACATAGCAGCATTTCGATTCGGAAGACGATTTGACCGTTGAAGCTTTCGTAACGGTCGCATTCCACCCCCCCCCCCGTGAGGAGAGGAAGCTGTCAAGGCCAAATCCAATCCAACGGCGAATTTCTTCATAGTAGGCTTTTAATCAGGCCACTGCTAATTAGACCGCTAATTATTGTATCAACTTGAAACCTGTGCCATACTTCCAATAAGATCACGGAAGGTTCAAGCTTCCAAATTTGAAACAGATCCGTTAATTAGAAGCGGAGATACAAAATTTTTGCACTAATTTTTGGACTTAGTGAAAATTGTGTTTTGTGACTCACTTGCGATTTGAAATAGTGTGCGCTCAGTGTGTAACACCTGAATATAACAGCTTTTGGATTACAGCAAGTTTTAAAACAGATGAAAAACAGAGAAGTTTAACGACCAAGTTTATTACAAGTTTTGGAGTGCACCCAACATTGTTAGGTTATTAAGTACAGTCTGCCACCTTTACAATTGTTCAGTCATCGAGTACTTTAAGCATTTACAGAATTCTTCTTTTAAATATGTCCTGTCAATCAGTTTCTCCCGATTGACGGTGATTCAGCACATCCAGAAAATGGACTTGATCCTACATTAGTATTGGCATCTGATTTACCTCATACTGATAAAATTACTGCACTGTGTGACGACATTCGAAGAATTGCAACTACTAAATGAAGTTCAAAATTTTCGCTGGCCACGGATTTACGCACTAGACTCTTAAATTCTTTTACTGCTTTACAAACTCTTGCTTCAGCGGGTCCTGAATGTGTATTAAAGCCCGCCAAGGTTGATATTGGTGTTAACACCTCCACAGTACTTTGTTGCGAATTAGCTCATTCCTCGCCATCACTTCCTTCTGTTCCTTTGCTAAGTGATTTACCGGCGTCTACATACATCTTTGCCTGCTCCTCCAATACCTACTTTTGCGGAGATTGCTAGAAAACATAACAAGCCTCGTATATATATAATCCCAAAGCGCATGTCTCAGAAGTTGAGCTCAAAGCTGAATTAAATGCTAAAGTTCCTCTCTCAAAACTTAAGGTTGGCATTGAGAGAATTATTAAAACCCGCCGAGGTGGTTTAGAGGTGGTGTGTAACTCTAATGATGATGCCAATGTCCTTGAAAAAGAAATCCAAAACCAGGACATCCCAGCGGAGATTAGCCGTCCCCGCCGGCACAGACCTCGATGCGCAGTTCATGACCTGCCCGAATCCATCAAGCCAGAGGATGTCGTTGCCGAAATCAGTGGTGCCACTGGCATGCCCAGTAACATCTTCAAGCCTCTCCATCGACTTAGAGAGCGCCGTAAAGGGCACGTTAAGTGGATCTTCGAGTGCGAGCCCCGAGGCTTCTGTGCACTCATGCAACAACACAAGATCTTCCTCGGCTGGCAGGCACAAAGAGTCTCGGAACACATTGGAATTAGCAGATGCTTCCGATGCCAGCAGTTCGGTCATCTACAAGCCAACTGCAAGAGTCGAAAACAATTTTGTTCCTACTGTGCTGAGGAGCACGGCATTCCGGGACTGTACAGCGCAAAATCCACTGTGTATCAACTGCAGTGATGCCAATGCTCGATTCGGAACTGGTTTCGACTACGACCATCCAGCCTACGACTCGGCCTGTATCCAGTACCAACGTCGTGTGCAATCCATCCGAGATAAGACAAACTATGAGTACTAATAATCAGTCCTTGCCTTCTATTGGAAATGCATCGGCTGATACTATAAACATGGATTTTATTTATCCGCAGTGGACTTTCAATTAAATGTATACAGATCAATCTTCAACACGCTAAGGCTGCTGTTGCTCAACTTACGCATTACGCAGTAGAACGTGAGGCTGATCTCATCTTTGTTCAGGAGCCTTATATTAAGGACGGACTTGCTGTGGGTTTTCCCGCTTCAGTGGTCTATCTTTCAAGCAGGCGATTTGGAGAAACCACCCAGGGCCATCATTATCAATTGCAACAAGGATTGGAAACCGACAGTCGTCGCAGCTAATAGGGACAATGTAGCCATTCTTCTTGATGTACAGGAAACCTCCATGCTTTTTATTTCACAATATTCATCTCCATCCGAGTCCATTCTTCCTTCATTGACTTTTCTATCAACTACTCTACAGCGCATTAAAATCCCTCTTCAGTTTATTGTGGGTGATTATAACGCCCATAATACAACTTGGGGTTATGCTTCAACGGATGAAAAAGGCCATTCTTTGGAGGATTTTCTATCAGCACATCATTTAATTCTGCATAACTCAATTGATGCCCCTCCAACCTTCGACAGAATACATTCACGTGGATGGCCGGATCTGACTATTAGTTCCACTTCTGCGGCTTCTCTCTCTCCAGAACTGGACAGTTGAAGATGAAATAAGTCTTAGCGACCATCGCTATATTACATTTACAATAGCTCAGCCTACAACCATTCAAATTATTCGACGCTACAATCTGCCAGGAAACGGATACGTGCCTTTACTGATCGTGTGAAAGCATTAGTAAATGATCTCGATGGTCAACTTTCTTTCTTCAGCCAATACTCGCGCTGATTTGGAGAATTCATTCACGGTTGTTCTACAGAAGGGTCTTCAACAAATCTGTAATGATCTTTTACCACAACGCCATGCCAAAAAGCTTAATAATATACAATGGTGGAACAGTGAACTTCGTTCCCAGCAGAAGAAATGCCGCGCTTTACGACGGCGAATCAAATATGAGCGACGAATGCATCTACCACCAACTTCGCTCCCTCTATATCATCACAGGAGAGAGCAAAATATAAAACGTTCAATTTTACAAGCGAAATTGAATTCCTGGCATGCCTTCTGTACCGAATCGCATGATACATATGGGATTCATCATAAGATAATGACAGGCAAATTATTCAAACCTGCTCAATTATTTCTTCCTCTTGGCTCAACTTGGCTCAACAGCCTCACAAGATTTTACCAAAGATACTCTGACTCATATCTTGGATACTGTTTTTTGGACCGTCTGATCTCTATGAGGGTACTTCCCATCACTCATCGATATCTGAAGAAGAGCTCTCATCCACTGCGTCTCCGGACAAAGAAATTACTTTAAAGGAATTAAAATTCATTGTTGCCCATTTGCCGAAACGGAAAGCTCCAGGCCCGGATGGCATTGACTATGCCATCGTCAAAACTGCCATCTTGGCCTCACCAGTATTTTTTGTTATATTTTTCAACAAGTTATTGGCAACTGGTACTTTTCCTAGGTCTTTTAAAATAGGCCAGGTTGTCTTGTTTTTAAAGAAGGATAGAAACCCGACTGAGGCTACTTCATTTCGACCCATTTGCCTACTTCCAGCGCTTGGGAAAATTTTTGAGAAGATACTGATGACTCGTCTGCGTTTTCATCTACATCAGCACCAAATTATTAGTTCTCTCGACAATATGGCTTTCGGCCCGGTTCATCTACATTACATGCACTGCATGATATCACACAAGACATCCTGAATAATAAATTCTCTGGCTACCACACCGCATTAGTCAGCTTAGATCTTAAAAAACGCATTTGACAGTTTGTGGTGGGTAGCTATTAAGAAAGCTCTGGTAAACTCCAATTGTCCGAGTAATATTTATAAAGTTTTAGAACATTATTTGCAAGACAGACGTCTTATTGCAGTACATCCAGCGGGAATTATCAAAAAAGTACAGACAAGAGGATGCCCGCAAGGTTCTTGCGCAGGTCCTCAACTCTGGAACCTCACTTTTAATAAGATCCTTCAAGCTCCCTGGCCTGATCATACGCATATATATGCGTATGCCGATGATGTGGCTTTTGTTATCCGGGGACATTCTCACGTGAAGTTTTACAGCAAAATTGCAATGAGTCTCTTCAACTCTTTCAACAGCATTGTGATGATCTGAAATTGATTATTGCTGAAAACAAATCCAAGGTACTTCTTGTACCTAAGAAAGGAGGTTCCTTGGTCAGGCGACCAAGAATTGTCCTCAATAGCCACAGGTTGCAAATCCTCAGAGAAATCAAATATTTGGGAGTTATCATTGATGATAAGTTAACCTGGATCCCACATATTCTGTCCATTAAAAAACAAAACGAACACAGATGATTGCCAAACAGCTTCGTTATCTTCAGGGATATCGGTGGGGATTAAACCACCATATCCAAAAAATTCTATATACTACTACTGTCACAGAAAAGATTGTTACTTACGCCGCTGCTGTTTGGGCACTCTCCCATGCAGGGGAGAAAAGTCAAACATCTTTCAACAACCATCCAACGCCCTTTTGCCCTGAGTATAACTCGGGCATATATTACAACTTCTTCGGACTCACTAAATGTTCTAGCCGGTCTACTCCCTCTTCATATTAGAACTGAGGAAGAGGCTGTTCGTCAGTCACTTGTGCAACTACGCAGGCCTATCACATTTGATGGAGAACATTATTTGCCTGATGACTATGAAGCAAAACTGAAACCTTTTAGTATTCATCCAGCAGACTATGGGGTTGGAGTTAGGCTCCATATTCCACCAACAGTGTTTCGTAATTCTTCAAGCCACGTGATATATACTGATGGATCAAAGATAGATGATAACGTAGGAAGCGCTTTTGTTGCTTTTCGTGATAATCTTCCTCTAGCCCACTGGAAGGGACATTTATCTATGCAGAATAGTGTTTTTCAAGGGGAAGCAGTGGCGATAGCACGCGCTATCCGCTACTTGCTGACTCAGAATATAACACAAGCGACAATCAATTCTGATAGCCTTTCTGTCATCCACGCCATTGGCAATCCTGAGCATTCCTCTCCAATTATACGAGACATTCAACAGGACTTACGTGCTTCTCCGTCTTTCACTATTCATATTGCTTGGGTTAAAGCGCATGTGGGAGAATATGGTAACGAACTTGCAGATGCCTATGCCAAGGAGGCGGCTTCTGGTGATGCTGATGAGAATATATCCATTCCTTGGCCACATTCTTTTCTCAAGCGAACTTTACGTCTTCGAGCAATTAGTAAGTGGCAAGAGGAATGGGACAATAGCTTCACCGGTCGACGTACTTTCTACCATCTTTCATATGTGTCGACAGATCGCTGCTGTGGCAATACCCATCTTTCCCGTTACATTTCGGGGCATGGACCTTTTCCTGAATTCTTCGCACGCTTTGGCATTAGTGATACCAATGTCTGCAGTTGTGGTGAACTCGGCTCTCCGGAGCACTATTTAGCCAATTGTCCCCTGACAGAAGGGGACAATACGATTTCATACACATACGATTTCCTACGCAAAATCGTCAAGCATTTTGCAAACTCTTAGTTAAGCAAAGACACCTGATCCGCAAACTAAATTGCGTAATGGAGAAAGTCTCCAGCATTGGGCTTGACCTATGTCAAGTTTAATCTAAATGGTTTTCAGGAGATATATTAACCATGTACTATCTGCTTTTTGTAGCTAGACTGTTAATAACAAATGAAATATAAGTTTGACTGCATCACGTTAGTTTGTGTGTATCGAACTCCATCTATCACCTTTTCAGGTTTGTTAGAAATTTTTATTTTTATTTATCTATTTATATATATATATATATATTTAAGCTATGCCTTTACATAGTTCTCACGTTGGTTTGATTGTACTGTACTCTTCAATCGATAGTATCCTTTTCTTATTAAGTTGATTGTCTATAAGACAATCATTATCTTAATCATTGTATCATGCTTACAAGTATCTTCATTCGGTATAGTATTATCAGTAAATTATGTTGGTATGTTCTATTGTAATGTATAGTGAGCCTTTGTACTATAACAGAAATTTTAAATGTTTATTTGATGGCATCATGTTAATCTAATTACATTGAAATCTGTCTCATGTTGTAAGAATCTGTCTACTTTTTATTTAGTACACAATTTCAATATCATTGTTTCTTGTCTCATGTTAGCTAGTTTCATTCTTAAGTCAGCAAGTATAGCATTATCAGTAAATAATTCTAGTCGATCTGCAAATATCGCATTCAGTCAGTAATATAGTTCTGTCGGTACTATAGTTATTGTTGATAGCTTTTTCCGCAAATTCTTCTTTATTTTGTATGCAACTTTCTGTCTTTGTATATGTTTTTGTTTAACAATTGCATATTTGAGCCTAGTATTTTTACAGATGACGTGTTTGTTTGTTCCGTACTCTCCTACTGTTCATATGCATTTTTTTTTTTTTTTTTACCTTTCAAACTGTGTATCATTGCAAATTATGTATTCATTACAATTATGTGTCATTGCAAATTTTGTATTCATTTCAAATTATGTATCTGTTTGCTAATATCAATAAACGACTGGAATCACGTAGTGGGGAGACGGCGCTAAACCAATTAACCAAATGGTAAAGGCGTGGTGCCCGTCTTCCCCGTTCCTAAATCCTAAATAGCCATTAAAAACGAAGTGATACAAATTTAACTATGCAAATAATGTCTGAGGAAATTCGCATATGTTTCCTTATGTGGGAGATATTTTGTTCTGTGGAGTATTCTCTATCTGAAATAACAGTGTACATGTGTAAAAATCAGTGTTTAACACGTTGAGCGTGGCGCCGAATTTGCTGTCCTTTCCGTTCAGCCAGCAGCGAGTTAAGCCGTAAAGCTAAGCCGTATTTTTGTTTAGAATGTTGCAATACATTTGATTAAAACTAAATTTGATCACATTTCATTGAGACTATATTTATTTTTTAACTTTAATACTGTCGGTCCCGTGGACCGACGCCAGCCAAACGAAAATTCCAGTCGACGCCGGCCACACGGAAAGTTCACTGCCGCGCTCAACGTGTTAATGAAGTGAAATCCATTCCTAGAACACCTTTCATAAATGTGTCTGTATTCGACAGCCCCTGCAACGAGTTGTGCTAATGACCAATTTTCTTGTGCTGATGGAGACTGCATTCCTTTGCTATGGCGCTGTGACGGTGAGAGTGATTGCAACGACCACAGTGACGAAAAAATGTGTCATAAGACAGTTTGCGATGAATCTCACCTAAGATGTGATCATGGCCAGTGCATTCCGAAATCTTGGGTTTGCGATGGAGCAGATGACTGCCTTGACGGAATTGATGAACGCAACTGTTGTAAGATTTTATTTTTTTCTTTCCGGTTTTTATTATTATCAATGCAACTAAAAATATCATAATGATTTCTGTTAATGGTTATTATCCAACTTCACTCTCATTAGCTAAATGGAAACACTGCAGTGCCAAAGAATTCCTGTGCGGCGATGGAAAATGTATAGATAAGTCATTAGAATGCAATGGCAAAAAGGAATGTGAAGATGGCTCCGATGAAAGTAACTGTTTTCGTAAGTAGTAATTATCCAGGCTTAACTGTTTATATACTGTGTGTTTTAGTTTTTTTAAACAAATTATCCTTTCATTGAAGATATGTATTTGATGATATTTTGGACATTCTACAGTTTAGATTTAAAAAAATAAACAAGAGTTTTAACTTCCTTTTTACTTCATTCTATTAAGCAAAGGAAGTATTACAATCGCAAAAAATTTTGGTTATCGTATTTGAATTGCACTCGAATCCATTTGAACGATGTTTCTGCGTGACATCTGTACATACGGACAGAGTGAAGGACAAATTTTTCCTAAAACGGGTTGTAAAAAGAATTTAAAATGGATTCCGAAGAGTTTTTTTTTCTTGACGTCTACAAGTGCGTAAGTATGTATCTCGCATAGCTAAAACATTTGTAGCCTCAGAACGTTGAAATTTTGCATATAGCACTGTTATAACATGCAGTTGTGCACCTCCCTTTTTGGTTGCAATCAGCTGCACCAAAAGAACATATATATATATGACATAAAGCAAGAAATTTAGAACTAATGTTTCACAAAGACGAAAATTTGAAATTCATAGCAAACAAATTTCAAATAATCTAATAAATGCAAAAAATTTAATAAATGTAAAAAACCAAAACTTTTAAACAATCAATAAACCAAAAAAAAAATTCCTTAAAGAAATTAAAAGAAAAAAGAACATAACATAATAATTCAATCAACTTCGATGCCACTTTATCAGGGAATAGGAATATTGAAATCTATCATCTAAAAAATCCTTGCTTTTCTATATCCAGAATTAGCCAATGAACCATTTCAATGTAGACTAGAAGAGAGAAACACGCTAATGTGACAATCAAAATCGTAAAAAACAACCTTATATTTAGCGTAGGTATAATGAAACACTCCGAGGGCAGCTAAAGGTCCCTCCTCATCAGGAGAAAGAAATACATAGAAAGAAGAAAATAGGAATCACAGAAACACGTGGTGCTTATCAGCACTGCACGTGGTTATAACTAGATTTTTAATCAGAGTTGCACTGGCCGCCTACTTTTACTGAGCCAGGGCTGTCTGATCAAGCATAAAGAAATATTAGCGAAGTTAAAATAGGGAGCGAGGGGCAAATGCACATTACGCTCAAAATCTGAACTTCAAATAATGGAAAGCAACCACTGAACGGATTTTTATACCCTCTGGTAGTACCAAGTGCGAGGAGGTAACGCCATCTATCGGCAAAAATAATTGAATTAAGATAGTAGAATTTTAAAGGCATTAGGAAGGACTGGATTGGACTTCAAATCATTAACTAAACTTTCTAAATCTTTGTGAATGTGAAAAGCCTCAAGAAAATCCAATTCGCCTATGGAAGAAGCCTTTTGGATGATTTTTGCAGACCCAAAATCAAAATTATGGTTAAAAGTCCAGCTATGATACGCTATTGAAGACTTGTTAATTTCCCCTTTTTTGACATAAGATTCATGTTCCTTGATACGAAACTATTATTAACTATTTCGAGAACGCTCTTTTTGTTTGGCTGGCCAAACAAAAAGAGCGTTGAAGTTTCGTATCAAGGAACATGAATCTTATGTCAAAAAAGGGGAAATTAACAAGTCTTCAAAGCGTATCATAGCTGGACTTTTAACCATAATTTTGTTTTGGGTCTGCAAAAATCCCAAAAGGCTTCTTCCTAGGCGAATTGGATTTCTTGAGGCTTTTCACTTCACAAAGATTTAGAAAGTTTAGTAATGATTGAAGTCCAATCCAGTCCTTCCTAATGCCTTTAAAATTTACTATTTAATTCAATTTTTTTGCCGATAGATGGCGTTACCTCCCTCGCACTGGTACTACCAGAGGTATAAAAATCCGTTCAGTGGTTGCTTCCATTATTTAAGTTCAGATTTTGAGCGTAATGTGCAGCCCCTCGCTCCCTATTTTAACTTCGCTAAATTTCTTATGCTGATCAGACCCTGGCCAGTAAAAGTAGGCGGCCAGTGCAACTCTGATTAAAAATCTAGTTATAACCACGTGCAGTGCTGATAAGCACCACGTGTTTCTGTGATTCCTATTTTCTTCTTTCTATGTATTTCTTTCTCCTGATGAGGAGGGACCTTTAGCTGCCCTCGGAGTGTTTCATTATACCTACGCTAAATATAAGGTTGTTTTTTAAGATTTTGATCATTTCAATGTATTTTAATAATAATAGTTCACTCGAAAATTCTGGCCCTTTCCCAAAGCAAGGAAAAAAATTCAATTAGAATTTTCAAGAGAATTCTATTTTGCTTAAAGAATTGAAACCGAAAGTGAGTAATTAAAATACTTCAGTGGAAAAAATAAATCAAAATTTTACTTTTAAACATATATCTCATAATCCAAATTTTGATTTATTTTTTCATTGAAGTATTTTAATTATTCACTTTTGGTTTCAATTCTTTAAACAAAATAGAATTCTCTTTAAAGTAGAAGTTCTAATTGAATTTTCCTTGCTTTGGGAAAGGGCCAGAATTTTCGGATGAATTATTATAATTAAAATACATTGAAATGGTTCATCGGCTAATTTTGGATACAGAAAAGCAAGGACTTTTGTAGAAGAGAGATTTCAATGTTCCCTACCCCTAATGAAGTGGTGTTGAAGTTGATTGAATTACTCTTCTATTATGTTCTTTTTTCTTTTAGGAATTGTTTTGAATTGGGTTATTGATTGCTTAAAAGTTTTGGTTTTTACATTTATTAACTGCTGCATTTATTAGATTATTTGAAATTTGTTATGAATTTCAAAATTTTCGTCTTTGTGAAATATTAGTTCTAAAGTTCTTTATGTCTTTAATGATAATTTTCTGCAGCTTAAAACGCGAGAGAATATATATTTTGCGCATATTTATATTTTATTTAAAATAATTGTTTTGTAATTATATATATACCCACACACCCATTCTGTTCCTCAGCTCCATGAGCTCAGTTTTTATTCTTATATGTTGGTAAATTGTGCATTTTTTGCTTTAAAAATTATCGAATTATGTTGTTCTTATCTTCCGGTTAATGTTTTTATGCTTTTAGTTAATCTGCATGCAATAGTTGTAGAATTATCAACAACTTAAAAGCTGTTTAAGTTCGGCTAAGCCTAGTTTTTTTTACCATAGCCGCCATATTTATTTACTTTTGGCAGAATAGTGAATTATGTCAGTTTCTGCACCTTCAGTGTTTTTTTGCCGAATGTGACCGAAAGTAAAATTTCAGCTTTGTGCACGGGAAAATCTGCCTTCTTGACCGTTGGCCAAATTGTTTGTTTTGCCTAGAAACTCTAATTTTAATTGTAAAAATTGCTTTTTTAATTGTTTTAACTGTATTTGGTATTTTATATTTTTCAAATTTTAAGATATTTTGAGGTTTTATGTATTTTTGCCTTGCCGCGAAGTGAGGTCTGAAATAATTGAATGAGAAATATATCTCTAATGAAATTCGAGGAAATAATTTTAAACGAAATGCAGCAAAATATGAGTATAATTTAATATTCCGTACAAGGAAGTCATGTGGTGTACACATCAGATTTTTTAAAAACTACTCGAGCGATTTTTACAAACCTTAGCACTTTGGCATAATTTGAGGCGTAGTATCTAAATATGGGAAAGAAGATCGGTATATCATTTCAGAACAAGTCGGATTTTTTTGTCGAAATATCTGTGTTGAACAGTAGAATGGGAGATAAAGAGTTGTCCCACCTTTTTTCCCTGTGCAATGTATACTTATGTATAGTTACCACTTTGTCGCAGTCTGGCGATTTTTAACAAAAGAAAGAGAATGATAAGTTTTAATAGTAAAAAAATATTTACTACATACATACATGTAACTATTATTAACAGAACATATAATTATTACATACATATAATATGCATACTACATACATATTGAAATTATCATGTATATAATTTATTTCGAAATTAAATCAATAAAATCCTACTTACAAGTGATTTTTTTTTCTTTTACTTCGTGGAAATTCCTCAGTAATTTATTTATAATAGATGCAAAGCAATTGTTCCCTTGGCAAGAAAATATTCCTGCAGAATTTATGTACCGCCGTTTCTTCCACTGCATGGGATATTCCACAAGCGCTTGTTTTAAAATTGCGTTCAAGACAAAATATATCACGTTATATCTATAAAATCGTAAAAATACCAGAAAAAGAGCGTATATAAAAATGGTTACAGAGTTTGCTAAAAACCGAAGAACTATTATGCGCTTGATTGTCTAAAACATTATCATACTCATGATTGACAGATTTTTGTACGTTTAGAAAATTTTGGTGAATTCAACTAAGGTTCTAATGCATAAAAGTCCAAACTGAATGTGCTTCGTTGAGAAAATACCTGTATAGTTACACTTTATGTTCTCGTTTTATATATGAAATGATATCATATAACAAGATTTTTAACTCATCTGAAAATGTTCTTTTAACATGTTCTGAAATTAATTAAAACTACTATAAAAATGTATATTTTACTTCAGAAAATAAGGCAGCTTGTATGCATGGAGCATATCAGTGTCAGGATGGCTTGTGTATTAACATGCACGAAGTTTGTGATGGATATCAAGATTGCTCTAAAGGAGAAGATGAAAAGAATTGCAGTAAGTTTCTGCGGGTAATTTTCTGCTTTCATTCTCAAATGCCACTAGGAGGCAAAAAAGAAATGACTATTTGTAAATTTTAAGCATTCATTTCACTGAGTGTTTACATTTTAAATTGTATTTCTTTTGAAAAGTTAAACATGAGTTCAGTGCAGCTGAACTAGTAGTTAGTTATCGTTATTTATATCAGACGATAGGTAGTTAGTTATTTATTATCAGACGAGGGTTAAAGTTTGTTCGTTTAATATCTTAATTATGTATGCAGGAAAAAGAATTACTGAACGTTGATAAGTGTTTCAGGTTTTTAATGGTTAAGTATATTTACTAAAGTGGTTAAAAATCATTCAGTATAAAACTAACCATATCTAAAATACTGCTTTTGAAACAAAAATTAAAATTTTTAACTAATTTTTAATTAAATAAATGTGTCCTAATATAGTTGAATAATTTATTTAATTAAAGAAATATTTGACAATACCAAAAGCATATATTTAAAGCATTAACGTTTTGGAAATTATTATTAAATACTTTTTTCATAAATGTGCAGTAAAATATCGGTTTACGAACTTAATTAGTGTCTGAAGGCTTTTATTGATCAAAATGTTTGTAAACCGGAACAATATTTCCCATAGGATAATTCCTATGTAAAATGCGTTAACTCATTCCTAGATCATAGATGATTACTTACCTTGCAACAGTACTTTGTTTGAACGTTCATAGTCCAAACCACTGGAAATCATTAAATATAAAAAAGGTAATTGCAATATTAAGCAGATAAAATGACTGAAAAGTTCATATAATTTTCCCTGTAACTGTATACAAAGAGTGTACGAAGAATTACGAGTAGAAAATTATGAGATAGATGCTATTCTCTGGATGTGAAATTTACTGCCATAAAATCGTCAAATATTATATATATATATATATATATATATATACTACTCGACATTGAAAATGCAAGAAGGAGTGGTCAGAAAGTGATGAAATTTGGAAAAGAGACAGCAAGCAGCAATAAGTGATCTTTATTTCAAAATGATAGTCAGAATACAGAGCGAGAACGGCGTCGGCTCAGTAGGATGTAGGACCACCGCCCACAGCGATGCACAAAGAAGCACGTCTAGGCATAGTCAAGATGGTGTCCTGAGTGCAAGAGTGCGGATGGTGTCCTGAGGGATGGCTTTCCATTCCCTTTCAACCATTCGCCACAGTTCGTCTTCTGAACGAGGCAGGGGCAGAGTCTGGAAACGGCGTCCAATCACATCCCACACATATTCGATTGGTGACAGGTCAGGAGAGTACGGTGACCAGGGAAGCATCTGTATACCATGCAGAGCATGTTGGTAGATGCAAGCACTGTGTGGTCGGGCGTTATCCTGCTGAAAAATTGCATTAGCAGCTCCTGAAGTTAGGGGATTGCCACCTGCAGCAGTGCATTATCGAAGTATCGTTGCACCGTCAAAGTGCCCTGAATACGAACTGGAGGTGACCTGAAATTGCAGGCAATAGCGCCCTAAATCATTATGCCACGTTGTCGCGCGGTGGGGCGTTCCATAGTTACTGCCGGATTTGATCTGTCTCCTCGTCGACGCCACACATCTATGCGGCGATTATCACTGGATAAACAGAAGCGTGACTCATCCGAGAACAAGACGTTTCACCATTCTATCATCCACATCGCTCCAGTCCATCACCATTCTAAACGTTGACGTCTAGGCTGTGGGGTCAATGGCAGTCTTCTTAACGGATACCGTGAGTGCAGGCCACGTTCAACCAATCGACGGGAAATGGTTCTGGTCGACACGGGAACACACATGGTATGTTGCACATGGTGCACAAGCTGCGATTTGACGTAAGGACCAACCTTCCCTTCTCAGTCCGATCACCATACCCCCCTCGTAAAATCATGGAGGTAGGAAGTAAGAAGGAGTCGCCCTAAAGCAGTTTCTCCGTACCCTGCTCTGAAGCACCGGCGATCCTTACGTGGTGACCAAAACATTGGGTCATTTACCATTGAGTTCTATGGGATTTGACACGTTCGGGTATAAATATTTTGTAATTATGTCGCAAATATACATATAAATGTATATATTTTCTTTTTCTACAACACTTCAGAGTCCTAAGTATGTGAAAACAACATATTTTTAAACAACATTTCATTCTGAACGGAATTAAATGTTATACTTTTCACAGGACAGTTTTCTCAGAATGGTTTAATTTGAATGAAATATTTTCACAAGTTTTCGTTAATTACATTAGAAAAAAAATTAAGGTAATTCGATTTTATTCGGTTAAGGTACAAAAAATTAAGATCAAAGTTTATTGTATTATTAATATTAAAATTATGCATTATTTCTTTTCTATTTATAGAGCTTCTTCCTAAAATACTTTCTTAAATATGACATGATTTTTTGGCTTCTTTTAAATCGAAAAATGTAAGTCAATTTATAATTAATGCTCTATTCGGTTCATTTTAAATTAGAGAATTATTAGGAAAATAGTATTTGACTTTCTCTGAACATTTCTAAAAGGGAATAAAATAAGTTTTTTTTAAGTATTATTTAAAACTTGTAACTGAGTTATTATAAAATGTAAAGGGAATAATTCTTTTAATTATACTTATCAGATTTTTTTTTTTACCCTTCATTTCAACAATACATATTCCAAAACTCTTTATTACGTTCTTAAGTGCGCATCTCATAGCATTTGCTTTACAATACCTTTTAACAGATTGCTTTCCAATACGAACAATTCTTGCTTAAATAGTTTTATAACGTATTTGTCAACAGGATTTCAATTTATGTTTACAATTCTATATTTAGATAACATTTATAATCATTATAAATTAGATACATTTAATCATTAGATTTCTTCACGGTACTTTCACAGTTGTTTATAAGTGAATAAATTCTTCATTTCAAATACATTTGTAAATAATTTAATGAATATTTAAGTATTTTGTCAAAGGCAGATACATGCTTTTTGCAAGCACATGCATAAATACCCATACATATTTCCTATTTATCATTTCCGGCATGTGCAAATCTTTAATTTCTGTGCATTCACTATATTTTTCGTGTAAAGTAATTTACACTAATTTAGCATACACCCGAAAGTTTTACATAAAAAATATATATGAATATAATTTTAATGAAAATTGTAAGTATTATTTTTAATACCCACTCAAAGGTCATTTTTTCTTCAAAATTCCTCCACGATGGCATCTCTCTCTTTAGGCAGATAGCCCTTGCATGCGTTACTCTATTTAATAAAAACTTAATATGACCTATGTGCCTAATTACAAATATTTTAACATACATAATTTTATATTTACATTTAGCCATCAAGTTTCAAACTTTTCAAATCTTCTAGAAAATAAATTTTGGCAGATCTCTTTTAGCAATTTTCTTAAAATCTATATTTTTGTAGTGCAACAGCTTAGAATTTTATAAAACAAATTCATAATCAAAATCGCTGTTGTTAGTTATCGAAAAATAACCAAGATGTGATTTTTGCGTAAATGTCAGTAAACTATACAAATTGCTATTATCCATCACACTATGAATGTTTCTTTCATGCGAGAGTGTCCCTTTTTCGATTTCTATGGAACTGTCGTGTGTGGAAATACTATAAGAATCTTGTCAAGCGAGCTTCTGAATGTAAACAAAGAACACCCCCTCTGGTGACCCAAGCTTCAAAGCAGTGCTTTCCTACCTACCTACGTCCATGCGTAAAATCGTCTATCTGCTGGAAGTGCCTTCGTTGACGGTAGCCTGGCATTCTCTCCTATTACACGTATCCTCCGGGACAAAAACCAACTTTCTTCGATAATTCGTCTGGCAGAAATAACGACACTAATATTGCCCATTCTGCACGTTCCTTCCCTTATATCTTACTTCACGTGCGTCGAAGAGCTGTGCATTTCACATCATTTGCATAACTCAGTGACATGCGTCTACTCTAAAATTTGCATGAATTTCTGACCACTCCTTCTTGGTGTTGCATTTTCAATGTCGAGCAGTGTATTTCGAGCTTGAGTGCAACTCGAGATATTCGTCATTCGAGGTGTCTTGTTCATATTATTTGTTTCGAAACCGAATTGTTCGTGAAATGGGGCTTTCGAGTTTCGAACTTCTATTGTATTAATATAATAATTAATGAATTATTATTCATGCAGTATTATTATATGAAAATTTAAAAGTCTAAAATGTATGTCTTGAGTATGTACACTGCTCAAAAAAAAAAAAAAAAAAAAAAAAAAAAAAAAAAAAAGGGACAGTTCTATATCTTCCGTTCTACTGGGCCGATTGACAAAATTCAAATTGCGTTCTTCATGTCTCGAAAGCGCGACTTAGGATATATATTAGATTTATATATAGCACTATTCTAACATAGGTATTTTGACACAAAATCGGACTTTTTCTGAAATAACATACCAATTTTTTTACATATTTCGATTCTACGACTCAAATTACGCCTAAATATGAAATTTTGTAAAATTTGGAGCGAAATTTACGGAGAAATTCACAAATTTATGTTGGCACTTTTTTTTTTTTTTTTTTTTTTTTTTTTTTTCAGTTTGCGCCAAGAATAGTTCACTTGGCGAACTTCTTAATATATGGCAACCTAGTTTCCTTTCCCGTGAGAAAAAAAGTCACCATCGTTCCTTTTTTCCAAATAATATTCTTTATATTATATTTTTAATTATAATTTTTTCTTTTTCGAATTTCATTTTTTAATTTGCATGTTTTTTTTTTTTTTTTTTTTTTTTTTTTTTTTTTTCGAATAACTGTTTTAAAAATTTCTATTTACCTATTCGAACTGCGTAAATAAAGGTGCAGCGTTTATTTTTTTTTTTTCAAATAGTTTTCTTTATATATATTTTTGTCATAGTTATTATTTTAGGTAATTTTTAAATTTTTATACTTTTATTTTAATTGTTTGTGTTGCATTGTCTCTTCAGATAATTGTTTTAAAAATTTTCTATTTATTCCTTCGAACTG